CTCTGTAGAAGGCAGGTCTGCTTCAGTGCTTTCTCTGGACTACACAGTATCTTTTCTCCTATTATTTATTGCAAGCAGTGCTAAATGATTTCTATGTCCCATCTTAGCTAGTCCTCACAACAGCCCTCAGAAGTCGATTCTCATTGTTTTGTTGTATAAAGTTGCCACGAACATTGAATTAGTGAAAACTGACCATCGCTCCTGGGGGAAACACAGGGCTAGGTTCCTGCCAGCCTAGGGTCACAACATTTTCATCAACTAACCAATCAATACATAACCCTGTTTTATGTGTATTTCTATTTAAAGACACCTATTTAACATACACGATCAATTTGTTCACATTGATTTCACAGCTAACAGCATTATAGCTCATGCCTGAATGAAAATTTTCTAACACACGTGATTTTCTGTGTGAGGCACATCACAGCCTTCTTGCATTTAACAACACTAGACAGCACTTCACCACCATAGTTGGGTCTATTTGAAAACAGTCAGATCACTATCCAGTACTGGTGGCTCACGCCTGTAATCCTAGCTATTCAGGAGGCAGAGATCAGGAGGATTGTGGTTCAAAGCCAGACTGGGCAAATAGTTTGCAAGACCCTATCTCTCAAAAACCCATCACAAAAATAGGGGCTGGTGGAGTGGCTTAAGGCTTAGGCTCTGAGTTCAAACCCCAGTACCACAAAAAAGCAAAAACAAACAAACAAAACAAAAAAACAGATCACTAACAAAATGCAGAAAAAATAGCAGTACTCAAAAGATCCCCAAGACCCTTGTTTACAGTATGAGAACTGAAACAAGAAAGCGGAGCCCCACCCCATTCAACCTCAGCTGGGAACATGCAGGCGGCTACTAAAAATTTTTCTGCTCTAATAAGCAAAACAACTTCTGGCATAAACATATAATGGAATATCACTCAGCCTTAAAAGGAAGGAAATCCTGACACCTGCTACAACATGAAGGGACCTTGAGGACATGACGCTCAGTGAAATGAGCAGACACTGAAGGACAAATGCTTCAGGACTCCACTTACAGGAGGCCCCCAGAGTCGTCAAATCCACAGAGACAGGAGGTAGGATGGTGGTACCAGGGGCTGGGGGAGGGTTTGATGTTTAGTGCAGTAGGGACAGAGCTTCAGTTTGGCTAGATGGAAAGTTCTGGAGGTATGGATGTGCTCAATGCCGGTGAGCTGTGTTAAATGTACATTTTATATTATGTATATGTTGCCACAATGAAAAGCAAAACAAAAAGGAAAGTGACAGGGAGCCCAGCTTGAGTAGCACGCGGGGCTCGCGGGCGGTGCTTCAGCACCCGGGACAGCTCCCAGGGCGCTCCGCAAATGCAGGACCTTCCCGCAGGACCGAATGACTTTCTCCTTCCCCACCTGACTCCTATTCATTCCTCAGAGCCCAGCTCACATCGTCACCACCCGTCCCACCCTAGGAAAGATCCCAAGGGCCCCGCACACTGCACGGCTTGAAGACGTCTGAGATTAAGTGCGGAGCCATATGGCTCCTGGACGCAGTGTCTTCCTAGGGCTCCACTCTCTGGCCGGGCGGAGGGCGTCCAGACCCTCTGCCTGAGCTCTGGTGTCTTTCCTCCTCCATCTGGGCTTCCTGCCTGTTCTGGGGGGCAGGTCGCCTTGCTGCTCTGGTTCAGAAGGGCGCAGAGCCCGAGGCAGTGGCGGAGGCAGCCAGCTGAGTAGCGCCTTGTCTAACGTCCACGAAGAGAGTCTGCTCCAGCGATCTACTGTGGTTTGAAGATGACTGTGACCCCAAGGGCCATCGTGATTAAAACTTGGTCCCCAGAGTCGTGCTGTTGGGAGGCGCTGGGACCTTTGGCAGGTGGAGCCTATTTGGAGGTCCTCAGATAATGGAGGCGTGTCTTAGGTCATGGGCGCTACCCCTGGCAGGTAGTTCTCATAGGTGTCCTTGGGGTTCTCTCCAGAGGGATGTTTTAAAGCCTGAGCTTGGGCCGGAGTGCAGCTTAGCGGTGGAGCTCTTGATAAACATGCTCAGTGGAAGAAACCAGACACAAAAGGCCACAGCTGAGGAACTCAGTTTTTAGGAAATGTCCAGAACAGGAGTTGCCAGGGGTTTGGGAAATGGAAAGTCACTGTTAATGGGACAAGGTTTCCACTGAGAGTGATGAGAAAGTTCTGGAATAAGATCGTGGTGATGGTTACACCATGTAAAATTTACATTACATGTATTTTTACCATGATTTTGAAAAAGTCTATTATACTAAAAAATCATGGTGAGGAATGGGATAGAGGGGTGAGTGAGTGGCAGGGTGGGTAATCAGCTATCTGAGGAGAAAACTTCTGAACTGGCACATGAATAATCCAAAAGTCAGGAGAAGAGCATATCTAACAGGAAATACAGCCTGTGCAAAGGCCCTGTGGTGGGAGTGAGTTTGATGTGTTCATGGAGCAGGTGGGAAACCACCACAATAACTTGGGGGGAGAAGAGACAACAGAACTCAGTTTCCACTTGGGGTCATGTACTTGATTATTGAAAAAGTACCCCACACTGGAAGAATTAAAACAAGCATGTATTCTTCTTGGTCTTGGAGACCAAAGGTCTGAAATCAAGGTGTCACTAGGGTTGGTTCTTGAGGTCGGAAGGAGAATCTCTTCCCTGCCTCTCTCTTCCACCTTCTGGAGGCTGATGCTGGGAACCCTTGGTTTCCTTGGCTTGTAGGCCCGTCACCCCATCTCTGCCTACATCTCCTACACGGCTCTCCTGTCTCCTGTGCCTCTCCCTTCTTCTAAGGATGGCTGCCATCAGATTTCGTGCCCACCCTAAACCAGCATCCTTAACCTGACTCCATGCACAAAGACCCATTTTCCAAACAAGGTCACATGCTGGAACATGACTGTGTCTTTGGGGGCTCCATTCAGCCCTCTATAGGATCTCAAAATTAAAAATAAAAACAGCAGCGGCAAGAAACATTTACACAGCCTTTCCCATGCTCCAGCTTTCTTGGCACCATCTCATTAAATTCCAAAAAGCCGGTGCCAGAATTTCCGCACTTCACACAGGGGGAAACTGAGGCCTGGCGGCAAGGTGACTGCTCCCTCGGGTTCCCCATGTGGAGGGTGGCTCTGGACCAGGGTCCAAACTCTCTTTGTGTCCTCTGAGCGTCTGAGTTCTTGGCCCTGTCTGGGTCCACCAGCCTCTGCAGTTCCTCCAGGCGACTGCAGGGGCGCTGTTTCCCGGCGGCCCCAAGACACCGCATCTGGGGAGCGGCTGCGTCCCCAGCGCCCCGCGTCGTTCAGGGCACCGAGCCCCAGCGTGGCGAGGGCCTGCCGCACCCACGAATCCGAGGACGGTCTTTCCCTGCCCGCAAAGACGGCGTGGGCCCCCGCCAATAACACCTTCCCCGGCCGCAGCCGGCTCGGTATGGATCCCGGCCGCGCCGCACTTCTTTATTTGCCCCGCTTTTGGTTTTGCACCTGCGATGCGCCATCGGAAATCTGCACCTCCCCGCGCGCCTGTGGGCGGGGCTTTCCCTGCAGCCAATGGAGAGCGCGGATGCCGATGGGGCGTGGCTTCCGCAGCAGGCCTGGCCCCGCCCCGCCCCGCCCCGCCCCCCGCACACAAAAGCAAGGCTTTAAGCAGCAGGGCGGCTGACAGCTGTGAGCGGGAGGAAGCGGGGACCTCGCAGGCGGCCCGCAGGCGGCAATGACAGTGGACAGGGCGACTGCGGGGACCCGGGGAGCCCCCCGCTGACCAGCGCCGCCCTCCCCGCCCCCGCCCTCGCGGCCCCGGTGACCTTCGGGTGCGGAGCCCGCCCCGCAGCGCCCGGCGATGCTCTGAGGCCTGGGGACCGCGCGGGACGCCCGCTGCGCGGCGGGGCTCGGCTTTGTCTGCCGCGGAGGTGAGTGGAGCCGCGCGGGGCGGGGGAGCGGGGAACCGCGGTCTCGTGACTCGGCGCTGCTCCCACGCGGGAGCCGAGGCCCCGCAAGCCCGCGCCCGCCCGGTCCCGCCGCCCACCCGCAGGCCGAGGGTCGCCCCATTTTCAGCGCCGTGCCTCGGCCGGCTCGCGAGCTCCCGCCGCCTCCGCTCGGCTCCTATTTATGTCACCGAGGGAAGAAGGCCAGCCGCACGGGAAAAGTCTCAGGACCGCGACGACCAGGGTTTGCGGGCGGGGAGGAGAGGGGCGGCTGGAGACCAGAGTCCCCTTCTGTTTCCGAGTTTGTGTGCGATTGCTCCCAATTCAGCACCATGGCTAAATGAACGTCTCAGCCTTTCCTCGTCCCTCCCTGTCATTTGCCGTCCCCAAGTGGGAAGCCGGGATCTGACATCGGGAGGGTCCAGGGCCGCAGGCGACCCGGCACACCCCACAGTTAGAGGATGTGGTTTCAGCCTCAGCCTGAGGGTCCCCCTGGAGCTGAGGTCGCGCCCAGCTCAGGATGAGGAAAACAGACGCAAGACCCCCCCGTAGGAAATGGCTTCCACCTGAACTTTCCCTCGCAGGAGCGGCTGGCGATTGCTACTGCCTGTGGCATCCAGAAGGAATTTTTTTCCTCCCATTCTACGTCTTACTGTCCCTCCTCCATGAGTGAATGACGACATTCAGGACCGCAGAGAGAACTGAGTGAGAAGCCCCCCACCTGCAGCCAGAGCGGGTCTGATCTCAGCCATTGCCCCTTCCCGCAGGTGCTCACCTGGCTCAGGTGCCCTCTGGGTTCTCCCTGACCCCAGCCACAATCTCAAATTCAGACTCGCTAATTAAGCACTTTCAGTGACACACCCAAACTGCCGCTGCCATCCTAGCTCTGCAGGGGGCAGTGGGGTGTCACTGAAGTGGTGCAGGTTAAAAAGGGAACCTTCAATGCTGGGCAGTGCACAACCAGAGAATAGGAGGAATAATGGGATAACAGCGTGTATGCTGTTCCGTGATGGCTTCTGAACTTGGCCCTGAAATCGCAAATATGCAAATGTGGAGAGAAAGTGCTATTTCCTTTAAAATAGGAACACTTGGGACCAGGTTGTTCTTGGTCATGGAATGTTGTCCTAGGTATTTAGAGTATTAAGCAGCATCCCTGGCCTCCACCCAGGAGCACTTCCTCCTGTCACTCATGACATCCCAAAATGCCTCCAAATGCCAAAGGAGAATTGCTGGATGTTCCTGGTGTGTGTATGGTGGTAGTGGGTGTGTGTGTGTGTGTGTAAGAATCATCCCCAGCTGTAAACCACTGGGTAAAAGTATGAAAAAGTGGTGTTCATTGGGTCAGAAGATATCACAGAGGTCATCCCTAATTCATCTCATTTACAGACAGGGAAACTGAGGCCCAGAGAAGTGAAGGTCTGGATGTTTCCATCTGCCTGGGCATTTCTGAGCCTGACTCCAGCAGCCTAGCTCTTATGCCACCACCCAGAGCCTCAGAACAAAAGCAAAACTGATAATGATTACAATGTGACTTACATCTCAGCTTCCTTTCATGCTACCCTCTCAGCTCTCAGGTCAGCAGGTGGCCAAAACTTGCTTCTTCCTTGGAGGACAGAGGGGCAGGGCAGGTGGTCTGAAGCAGCTAGAGGTGGGTAGGAGTGGACCAGATCCTCTTTGAAAGTGTCAATCTGTCCAGGGAAAGTTAAGTATGTCAGTCATTCACACTTCAGTATGAATGTAAAAATTCACTGCTTCCCAGTTGAGGTCCAGTGAAAGAGAGGGGTCATGGCCAGCTCTGGGGAAGGTGTACTCCGGAGCTCCCAAGAAAGGGGATCTTGCAGTTGGAGGCTTAGTCTCTCACTTGGGTTCAAACTCTCCACTGACCCAGGTGTCCTTGGCTCTCGACGCCTGTTTTCTCATCTCAACTGATCCCAGGACTGGGTGATGATTCAGTAAGACAACGGGCCCCAGAGCTCTTTGCAGATCCGTTGCTAACATGCCGGAGGGTTATCTTGCTGATTAGTCTATAAAGCTCATTCCTCCACCTTCTGTCCTCCTCCAGGCTCATCCCACTTCAAGCCAGCCCCTGTTTTTGGCTCCCATGGGGACCACCGAAGCCACACTCCGGATGGAAAATGTGGATGTGAAGGAAGAGTGGCAGGATGAAGATCTTCCCAGGTAGGACCTCAGGTTCTGGGTCACTATGGTCCTGGCATCTCTCCCAAGTGGGGTGCAGTGCACGCAGTCCATTGCCATCAATGTTGGAGTTGGGCGCCAGGGGCTCATGCCTGTAATCCTAGCTGCTTGGGAAATCAGGAGAATTGTGGTTCAAGGCCAGCCCAGGAAAAACGTTCATGAGAACCCCATCTCCAAAGTAACCAGAGCAAAAAGGACTGGAGGCATGGCTCAAGTGTTAGAGTGCCTGCTTTGCAAGTGCAAAGCCCTGAGTTCAAATCCCAGTCTCCCCTCCCCCCTCCCCCAAAAAGGCTGTTGGAACCACTTCCAGTCAGTGCTTCTAAGTGGGGACTTTTGGGGGCTGACCCAGTTCTGATCCACTCAGTCTCTTCTCCCATGCTCTCCTTGAGGTCTGAGACATCTCTGCGTCCTCTCTGTAGCCTCACAGCAACCAGTAAGGACGAGGAGCACAATGAATATTTGCTAAATTATCTAAGAAGCATATCCTGTCCCTGAAAGCTCCCAGAAAAGCCCCCATGTGCACATTTAAAAGATTCGAGTGCCTTATTGAACCATCTCACAAACATTCCACTGTTGCAGTATTCTCACCTGAATTTTACCTGCAGAGGCCAAAAGGCCTGTGTTCCACCTCCACCTAAACACCCTCGGGTAAACATCCATCCCCATTGCTCTGGCCTCTCTATATCCTAGTGACAGCAGCTTCCTTTTCACACCTTCTCCTTGGCTGGCTTACTCTTACCTTTAGGCTTTTTCATTGGCTGTTCCCTGTGCCTAGAATGTTGTTCCCAGATGTGAAAGAGGTGATGGAGGCAGGACATCTGTGCCTACCACACAGATCGCCTTCTCAGAAACCCCTGACCCCTTCATGACCCCCACCCCTGTTTCTTGAATTGTCTCTGTCCTGAATGACAGGTAAATAAATTTCTTTACCCCAAGAGATACCCATCTCCTAATCCCTGGAACCTGTGAACATTGTCTTCGTATATAACTCTGGTTAAAGATTTTGAGATTGGGATAACGTGATGTTGTAAAGCGCCAAGTTCATGGTGGTTTGTTACAGCAGCTGTAGAACCATCTAATATGCACCATCTAATATGCTGTACTAGTCTATTTTGCATTGCTACAATGAAGTTCCAGAGGCAGCAAACTTTATAAAGCAAAGAGGTTCATTCAGCTCACAAATTTGAGGCTAGAATTCTTTTTAAAAAATGGAGTAGTTTCAGTCAAAGGCCCCTCTTGGTCATGTCACCTCATGGTGTATGGCAGTGGCAGAATCACATGTGAAAAGAAGATATAAAGCAAAACAGGAAGCAAAAAGGTGGTGTCTGCCTGTAATCCCAGCACTCACGAAGCAGAGGTAGGACTACTGAGAGTTGCAGGCCAGCCTGGGCTAATTATCCATACCCTGTCTCAGAAAACCAAGGGGGAGGGTGTGGTTCAGTGGTAGGGCACTTGCCTGGCACATGCAAAGCCCTGGGTTGCAGTCCCAGGACTGAAGAAAAATTAATCAAAACAAAAAACAGTAAGTCAGAAAGACTGGGTATGGTTGGGCTTTATAACAGGTTTTATAACAACCCTCTTTGAAGAGCTAACTGACTCCCAGGATAGCTCCCTTAATTCCTCCCAAGGACATACCCCCAGTGACCTAAGGACTTCCCTCAAGCCCTGCCTCTTAAAGGTCTCACCACCTCCCCACACTGAGGACCAAGATTCCAACACAAGAACCCTGGGGGACATGCTTGACCCACAGCATATACTGAACACTTCACTTGGGTATTTTGTCCACACCTTGTGCCCACACAAAATGGAACACCAAAAAGCAGGAATCTTTGTTTTGATTGCCCTGTACCCTAGCCTGAGGACAATGCCTGGCATGCAACCAGTGCTACTAGATATTGGATGAGTGGGTGATGCTCCTGGTAGGAATAAGAAGTTGTGTTGGAGGAAGCTGTGCATGCATTCACTGCCACTGTGTCATCTGTTTCATTGGCTGGACATGGCTGGTCATCTCTGTCCCCTGCTGGGCAGGGAGGTTACTGGCTAAGAGACAACACCCCAAGCCCAAGCAAATAGTTTGTGAGACCCTATCTTGAAAACACCCCTCACAAAAAAAGGGCTAGTGGAGTGGCTCAAGGTATAGGCCCTGAGTTCAAATGTTTGAACCCCAGTACCATAAAAATAAAAAAACAAAAAAGAACAAAATAGAGTGGATGTAAAAAAGAAAACAAAACAAAAAAACCACCCAAGAGTTTGTCTATAAACTATTAGGTGAGGAACAGTTCAGAGGTAAAGAGAATTTGAAACCAAATCTGGGCATGGTGGTGTACGCCTATAATCCCAGCATTCACCAGGTGAGTTCAAGGCTAGCTTGAGCTCAAAAAAACAGACAGACAGACAGACAGACAGAGAGAGACAGAGGCAGAGACACAGAAAGAGAGAGGGAAATGCAGAGACAGGGAGAATGTGAAAAGAATCTCCCTTCCAGAAAAATCTGGAAGAAGCCTGAAAGAGGAGCAGTGTCCCGCTTGGAGGGAAGCGGGCTGACTCAGGAGGTCTCGCACTTCCTGTGCATTCATGACCAGGCAGAGGTGGACACTGATGGAGCTGCCCCACATCTGAGGACTTCAGCCCTGAACCTAGGCATTTCCAGACTTTGAATCCCACGCATCTATGTGTGCTTATGGCAGGAGGTGCCATGTCTCAGAATGGCCAAGAATCTCTTGTCTGTGGGGGGTGGGGGGGTGGAAGAACCACTATCTACAGGAATTTCTACAGGGGTCCCTCGGTATCCATGGGCATTGGTTCCAGGACCCCTGGGGATGCTCAAGTCTCTTGTATCACTTGGCACTGAATTTGCATAGAACCTGTGCATCCTCCAATAGATTTAATCAGCTCTAGATGACTTAGAATACCTGACAAAGTAAATGCTGTGTATATAATTGTTATACTGTATCATCATCAGTAGAGAAGCATTTTTGGGGGGATGGGACTTGGGTTTGAACCCAGGGCTTCACACTTGCCAAGCAGGTGCTCTCCCACTTGAGCCACATCTCCAGGCCATTTTGCTCTGGTTATTTTGAAGATGGGGTCTCAAGAACTGTTTGCCTGGGCTGGCCTTGAACCATAATCGTCCTGATCTCAGCCTCCCAAGTGGCTAGGATTACAGGCATGAGCCACCAGGAGCCTGGCTGAGAAGCATTTTTGTTTAAAATGTATCTATTTCTAATCCTTGGTTGGTTGAATCTGTGGAGTGGAACCCATGGATTCAGAGGCCAGCTGCCAAGGGCCTGACTTTTTAAGTCCGACAGCCACATTTCACATTCCAATCACTCAGCCACCCATGCCAGCCTTTTGGACATCTTTGTTCTTCCATTCTTTAGTCTGCAAAATGGGTACAACAGTCCTTCACTCAGGAAGTTGTCCTCAGGTTTCAATGAGACACTGAGATGGGCCGTCCATGTGACAAAAGCTGCCTGCACACCTGTAGCTTGTTCATTTTGTTCCCTTTCCCTGCTGCTGCTTATATTGTAAACTACCCATGGCTGGGTGTGGTGGTGCCCACCTGTAATCCCAGTACTTGGAAGGCTGAAATAGGAGGATCACAAGCTCAAGGCCAGCTTGGGCTACATAGCAAAGCCCTGCCAGAAAGAGAGAGAAAGAGAGAGAGAGAGAGAGAGAGAGAGAGAGAGAGAGAGAGAGAGAGAGAGAGAGAGAGAGAGAGAAAGGAGGAAGAAGGAGGAGGAGGAGGAAAGAAAAAGCCACACCCCCTCACAAGACTTCCGGGGGCAGAAATGGGGCCAAAGGCAGCTGCAGACAAGACAGGAGAGCAGGCAATTGGACAGGGGACAAGGGTGTCTCTCCAGTGAACTTTCCAGCTGCAGGCATCCCCCCTCCCTCCCCCTGAGCACCCCCCCAACTCTCAGCAGCTCAGTGTTGGTAGGACAGTGGCCTTACTGTGTGTCCCAGGCTACCATCTGCCCCCTTGCCAACTGGCACTGTGCCCCCAGGGCTGCTATCTTCCTGGGCTCTGGGGGGCTCATGTGTAGTGCCCTGAAGCAACTCCAGCTGTGGCCACACAGAGGCACCTCTGTGTACCACAGGCAACTGAGGCTCTGTCCTTCCAGCTGTGACCCCTCCACGGGGTCTTTGTGCTTCCCCCATGAAAGTCACAGTCCCAAGCCCACTATGCTTCCTGTGTCTTTCCTAATCCCCTGCCCTTTTGCAAATTCCAGTGGAGCCAAGGTAAGGGCAGCTGCAATTGCCTGGCTTACTGCCTTGACTTCCCCATTTGCTCATTTTGTAAGAACCACAGTGGCTGGATTTAGGGCATACCCTCCCCAGACCTCATCTTAATGTAATTACGAAGCAAAGACCCTACAGTCATCTTCCCTCATCTTTGAGGGGCACGTCAGGAACCCCAGTGGATCCCTGAAAGTGAGGACAGTCCTAAACCCTATGTACATAGTAATATGATTTTTTTCTATACCTGCTTGCCTATGATAAACTCACCTCTCCACTTAAATGAATCAGTTTACAGCTTCTTTTTGGCATATCTAAATTTCTAGCCTCACTACTCTTGGGTATTAGGGTCATTATTAAGTAAAACAAGGGTTATTTGAACATACTCTGAGTGACTAATGGGCAGGTAGCATATACAGGGTGGATACGCTGACAAAAGGACACTTTGTGCACTGGAGCAGGATGACGCAAGATTTCATCATTCTACTTAGAACAGTGTGCTTAAGACTTATACATGATTTCTAAAATTTTCCATCTACTATTTTCAGGCTGGTAACCAACTACAGAAAGTAAAACTGAGAAGGGAGGTCTTATTCCCAAAATGCCAGAAATTAGGACTTGAACATATCTTTTTTTTTTTTTTTTTGGTGCGGGGGACAGTTCTTCTCACTACAAGAGACTGAAGTCAAATTGCATATTGAGGAAACCCCACTTTTAACCTGGGCTGCCCATCATGGCCTTTGACAGTAAGAAGGCCATCTGGGTGTCCCCTTGGGGCCACAGGGGGACTCCTCAGGCATGCACAGTCTTGAGGTTCTCCTTAAGGTCTCACTTGGCCTTGAAAAATGCAGTGTGTGCATTTGCTCCACCAGGGTCAGGAGGCAGCAACCCCTACTTCTGGGAGCCTGGACCCAGGCCAAGACTACTTCTCAGGTTCAAGGGGCTGCTTTGAGGGATAAATCAGCAAATAAATAACATCATGCTGTGAACACTCTACCGTGATGCCTAGTATACACAGTGGACACACTGTACCTGGCATAAATGATGATTCTAGAATAAGAGGAAATTTAATAAGATCAAATTTAATAAGATGAATGAAAGGAACTAGAAGGAAATTCTGACCATCAGATTTGTACTGGACACGAACTGCTGCCAGTTTGAAAGGAAAGGTTTTCTACAACACGAAATGGGTATCGAGACTTTTGATGTCATAGTTCTGATCTGACAGCAAATTTCAAATGTTTTATTTTGGTTTTGGTGAGACTGGGAGAGTTTTAACTCAGGGCTTGGCATTTGCAAAGCAGGTGCTCTACTGCTTGAGTCACACCTCCAGTCCATTTTCCTCTGGTTATTTTGGAGATGGGGGGGTCTCATGAACTATTTACCCAAACTGGCCTCAAACCTTGATCTTCCCAATCTCAGCCTCCTATGTAGCTAGGATTGCAGGCATGAGCCACTGGCGCTTGGCTTCAAATGTTTTTAAGTGCTGTGTGGGCAGAATAAAGCTAGGTTTGGTGCTTCTGTTGTCGGTATGTGATTTTTTTTTTTTCTTTTGCAGTGCTGGGGTTTGAACTGAGGGCCTGCACCTTGAGCCCTCTACCAGCCCTTTTTTGTGAAGTACTTTTTTGAGACAGGGTCTCTCAAATTATTTGCCCAGGCTGGCTTCGAACCATCATCCTCCTGATCTCTGCTTTCTGAGTAGTTAGGATTACAGGTGTGAGCCACTGACACCCAGCTCAGTCTGTGATTTTGTAGCATAATTTTAAAACTTTGCAAACCCTGGGATTCTGGGAGTTGTTGAATCGATTCCTCAGCCCTCATCTGCCTCTTTAAAATCTTCTCATGATTTTACTTGAATATTACTTTTTTTAGGAAATTGGGGTGAAATTCATATGACATCTATGAATCATTTTAAAGTACACAGTTCAGTGGGCTTTAGTACATCACAAGTTTGTGTAACCATCACTACTGTCTAATTCTGGAACATTCTCACCACCCCAACAGGAAGCCCTGTCCCCATAAGCAGTCACCCATCCCCTCCCCAGCCCCTAGCCCCCACAAGTCCACTTCCTGTCTCTGGATTCTCCTGTTCTGGATGTTTCCTGTCAATGGAGTCACTTGTTGTGGGGTCTTGTGTGTCTGCTTCTCTCGCTGAGCACTAGGTCTGCAAGGTCCCTCCATGATGTAGCGAGGGTCAGAACCTTGCCCCTGTTCGTGGTTGAATAATATTCCAGTGTGTGAATGGAATTCCACTTCTGGGCTTTGATGGCTCCTGCTGCTGTGAGCATTTAGTAAGACTTGTTTTTTGTTTCTGTTTTGTTTTGTTTTGCAGTAGTGGGGTTTGAACTCAGGCCCTTGCTCTTGCTAGCAGGCACTGCTGTACACTTGAGTTTTTGTGTGGGCAGCCATTTTCCTTTCCTTTGAGCATCTGCTCTCTTTTGACCTTGAGCATCCATGAAATTGGGCCAGCTTTTGCTTCACCCCACACCTCCAGGACCCACCCATGTACCAAGGACCCAGTGGTTAGTCCAAAAACATTGTGAATGAGAAGAGAGGGAGGGAGGGGCACCATAGACTCCACCCGGAACAGGAGAGGGAAGAGCTGTCCACCTCTTTCCCATCTAAACAGTCCCGGGCCAGCCCCTCCACTCTGGCCAGCTGGGATGAATTTATCCCTGCAGTTCCAGGATTGCGGGAGACCCAGGGGCCTCCCTGCAGCTCCGTGTTCAGCCCTGCAGCCTTCACCCGGGAGCTCAAGGCTGCACTAAAGGGACCCAGATGCTGAGCTGGCCACATTTCTTTTTCCCTAATGTCCCTTTCACTCTGAAGATGCCATCCAGGATCCCACGTGACATGCTCTTAGATATTAACTGTGGTCGGTGACAGTTCTCCGACCCTCCTTAGTATTCATGACATTGAAGTTCTGAGAGGGACTGGTCAGCCATTCTGTGGAAGTTCCATCGATGGGGATTTAGCTAATGTTTTTGTTCTGATTCGACTGATGGATGGGCTCAGGAAGGAAGACCACAGTGGTGAAGGGTGCTCTTATTTGTTACATCATATCAAAGGGACCTGCCAGCTGAGTGTGGAGTCACCTGCCTGTGATCCCAGCTACTTGGGAGACAGAGGTAGGAAGATCTCAGTCCAGGCCCGGCCTGGGAAAAGTTAGCATGCAAAATAACCAGAGCAGGACTGGTGGAGTGGCTCAAGTGGTAGAGCACCTGCCTAGCAAACATGAGGCCCTGAGTTCAAATCCCAGTACCACAAAAAAAAAAAAAAAAGAAAGAAAAAGAAGAACATACTTGAGCACAGTGATTGCTAGGAAGTCAATGCATTTTGTCTCTCTTGTTTTTGCCTCATTCCTGTTGGCTGAACCTGTCCATGTCATACCTTGTTCCCTTGGCTGGATTTTGGATGTCCTCTCGGCTGGGTTGGCAGGCCGCTTCCAGAAGAGACTGGGATGGAATTGCTGGGTAGTCCAGCAGAAGACACATCCTGTAAGTTTCCTCATGCACAGAAACAAGAACGTGTTTTACAGGCTTCGGCTGTGCCCCAGCTGTCACTGCAGCAATGTCAAGAGGCCACACGCACACTTGGGGTAGAAAGTTGGGGGAGGGGTTGTTCTGTGCCAAGAATGGCAGAGGAAGCAGGGTGCCAGGGAGAACAATCATGACAACCACACCAGGTCTTGCTGTGTGTCCTCAAGCTGGTTACTTGGCCTCTTGGTGCTTCCAATGCTGTATCTACTAAATGCAGGCAGTGAGCTTTTTAGAGAGGGAGGATGCAAGGATGAAGTGAGGGACACATGCATAGGACCCAGTGATGCCACAAGTGAGGTCAACTCAGCCAAGGGCAGCCAGACTGCTCTGAGGGGCTTACAGGCCGAAGATCTAAAGCCACAGCCACTAGAATTGGGGCTGGGAGTCCTGGAACTGTAGCAAACCTTGTATTCACCTTGTGGTATCTCCTTGCTGAGCTCTGCTGGACTGCTGCTCTCCTGTGTCACCCGTCACTGAGCCCACCCATAAGGAAGAGACTGATCGGAGAGGGACATGCATGCCCCTGAGGTCACACAGCAGGGAGAGCTGGAGCTGCCCAACCCCGTGCCTTTCCCTGCACCACATGGGCCCCAAGAGGCAGGCAGGGGCCTGGCTTGTGCCAGCTTTCTGGGAATGTTCAGGGTGGCTGGCCACAGAGAAGTCAGAGCAGCTGGAGGTCTTTACATCTGGGTTCTGCACTGAGCAGTTGGTCTCACAAGGTGCCTTCATGGTCACGTGAGACTACTCCTTCAATATTCTCGCTCTCTCTCCTTCCCTCCCTCTCTCCCTCCTTCCCTCCCTCCTTCCCTCCTTCCTTCCCTCCCTCCTTCCCTCTCTCCCTCTCCCTTTGGCCCTGTTTTGGAAAACTCCAATATAAAATTATCTTGGACCCTGGATCATCTGGGGCCCAGTGTCACCACAGGGTCCTCATAAGGAGACAGCTGGGCTCAGGCTTGGTGGCTCACACCTGTAATCCCAGCTACTTAGGAGGCTGAGATCAGGAGAACCAAGGTTCGAGGCTAGCCTGGGCAAATAAATCTTGAAACACCTTCACCCATCTCCAAAATAACCAGAGCAAAATGGACTGGAGATGTGGTTCAAGCAATAGAGCACCTGCTTTGCAAGTGTGAAGCCCTGAGTTCAAACCCCAGTGCCACCAAAAATATATTTTTTTAAATGAGGGGAGATGGGGCATGAGGTCAGAAGCAGAGAGAGACTGGGAGAAGCTGTGTTGCTTCTCTGAAAAGGGGAGCCAGGGGTTGCCTTCCTCCTCTCACGAAATCCTGGGAGCCACACTTAGGCTGTGGCCCAGTGCTGAGGGCTTGCCTAGCATGTGCAAGGCCCTGGTTCCCATCCTCAACACTGGGAAAAAAGAATTCTGGGAAGGTCAGGGATAATCAGGCTCCAGGGGCAGCGTAGCCTTTGTGGATACCCTAGAGCAGTGGTCTCAGGGTTCTCCAGCATGGCCCCCAATGACTAAGCCCAGCTTCCCAACCCTTCTGCCAGGCAGCCTTGACCGGGTCCCAGCTCCTGGTCCCACCCTCTCCAGGACCCCAGGCCCCAGCAACTATAAAGAGAGGTCCAATTCACGATCCTTGAGTCCTTGATCCTTGATTGGACCCACGGTGGCTTCCATAAAGAGAACGCCCTAGTTGGATAATGGGCAAAGGGAGGGAGGAGGCCCACATGGCAAAGCAGCCTGGGAGGGGAAAGAAAAAGGGTGTTTGCCAGGTCCCCAAAATGTGTTCAGCCCTAGCAGTCACCTCCCAGCCCCAGGCATGTCATTTTCACAAAAGGCTCTGTGGCCTTCCCAGGGCTGCATAAGTCTCACGGACCCCACAACTGAGGCCAAAGTCCAAGGTGCTGGTCCTTCTGAGGCCCTGAGGGAAAACATGCCCCAGGCCTGTCCCCAGCATCTGATGGTGGCCTGTGAGCCTCAGTGTCCTGTAGAAGTGTCACCCATCTCTGCCTCCGTCGCCACACAGCGTTCTCCCTGTTTGCATGTTGTAACTGACTGGGGCGAGACCCACCAAGGCTGCCCTCACCTTGACTTTTCCATCTGCAAAGACCCCGTTTCCAAAGAAACGCTCATCCTGAGGTCCCAGGGAGAGGATTTGAATACAGATTTGAAGGGGACACAGTTAGACCTGCCACTCTCCACCCTCGGACCTCTCCACACACCATCCTTCCCCTGCACAAACATCGCCTTTGCAACATCCCATATCCACAGAGTCTTTGCTCTTCTAGCACCAACGTCAGCCCCAGTGTCATTAAAACTTAGACACAGGCAAAACTCAGGGATGGCGGTCTTGGGGGATTCTTTTCCTGCCACCAGCCAGGAAGCCAGCACCAGCTGTCTGCAGAAGGCCATGGGGACAGGACAGAAGGAACAGGGATGGGCAGGATGGGTGGGACAGGTGTCTCATTCCCCAGGGAGGGTGGCTCCCAGGTCCTCACAAGCCCGAGCCCTGGCAGGGTAAATTCCGGTTAAGGTTTTCCTTTTTTTTTTAAAGAAGAAACTCCATTAGATTTTTGTCGTTGCTTTTGTTTGACTCTTTTTTTTTAGTGGCAAATGCCATTCCATTTTTTTTTCTAGTTCTTTTTCTTTTTTAGGTCAAATTGCTCAATTTTTTTCTTTTCTTTTTGTTTCTTTCATTGGAAAATTCTATTTAATTCTTTCTTTGTCTTTTTAAAGGAAACTGTATTCAGTCTTTTTTCTTTCTTTCCCTTTTTCTTTTTTGCCATATGGGGTTTGAATTCAGGGCCTCACGCTTGCTAGACAGCTGCTCTGCCACCTGAGCCACATCCCCAGCCCTTTTGCTTTGGTTATTTTTTGAGATACGGTCTCGCTTTATGCCCGCTCTGGCCTGAACCACGATCCTCCTATTTGTGCTTCCTGAGTAGCTGGAATGACAGGTGTGGGCCACTGCACCCAGCCATTGACTGAGATGGGGGTCTCTTGAGCTTTTTGCCTGGTCTGGCCTAGAACTGCGATCCTTCTGATCTCTGCCTCTGGAATAGTGAGGATTACAGGCGTGAGTCATTCAGCCTGACCTTTTTTTTTTTTTTTTCATTTAGAGCAAATATCATTCCATATTTTTTTTTCTTTTTTAGGGGCAAATTCCACTCAATTTAAAGGCTTGAGAATAATCCTCTTTGGCTCAAATCTCTGTCCTCCCAGCCCACATGGTGGGGGTTACTGCCTCCCGACTTCCCTACTGGTGACAAGTGTCACGTCCACACCTCAATTTTGCTGTCTCTGGGTGCTGTGACCTTCAGCTGTACCCCATCAGGAAGAGAGAGCCAAGTTTGTATTAAATTCATGGAATATAACACCCTCCTCCACTTCTGGTGAAGAAGGGGTGAGCGGAGAGGCCCGGGGTCAAGCCTGAAGCTACCTCTCACCAGCAAGGTGGCCCTGGGCCAGTCATAGCCTCACTGTTCCCTTCTGTAAAATGGCTCACACTTCCTGCTGCGCAGTCATGTGGGATCTTCAGGCACAGGCGTTTGGTGAAGTCTGACCACTGCTTTGGTTTCATTTTCTGCCATAGTGCATGTTTATATCCATCTCCAAAAGCAGTTCTGACCTGCTGTCTAGGGACCAAGAAATTCAATGGGAAAATGAGAAGAGTCGACTGAGTTAATGGCAGATAAACAAGGTCCAAGGTGCTCCTTTGGGTCTTTCACTGAATCTGCACTGGCCACAGAGTGACACTGAGGTCACCTCCCCTGGTCTCTGGACTCTTTTTCTTGGACATCATTTTAGGGACAGGTGACCACTTCTCTCCCAGACTCACCCCAAGGAGCCAGCCCTGCTCTTTCAATCAGATTAGCTTTAGCCTCTGCTGGTGGTGGGGGGAGGTCTGGGGGACAGAGATCTCCAGAAAAGGAGACCAGGGGACGTCCACCCTCCCAACTCCAGAAAGGACCTTGTCCTGTGCCTCTGTGCTGAGTTTGCTTGTCTATTAAAGGAGACAGTAGGGATGTTGGGAGGTTGAGGGATGTATGTGCCCAAAAAGAGTTTAGCTGAGACCCTGGCCATCCAATGTCTGGAAAAATCTGACAAAAATCTAGCAAGATCACTGTGTGTTAGTTTGCTGGGCACAGTGGCACAGCCTGTAATCCCATCTGTGAGGGAGGTGAAGGTAGGAAGATTAAAATATAAGATCAGCCTGGGCAAAAAGTTAGCAAGATCCTGTCTCAGTTAACAAGCCAGGCATGATGATCCACATCTGTGACCCCGGCTATGCAGGAGGTGTGGTAGGAAGTTCGAGGCCTGAAGCTGGCTCCAAGCAAAATGGGAGACCCAACCTGAAAAATAACTAAAGCAAAAAAGTGCTGGTTGGGGCTCAAGTGGTAGAGCACCTGCCTGGCAACCATGAGGCTCTGAGTTCAATCCCAGTACTGCCAAAAAAATACACATTAGTCATTGAAAAGTGGAACAGGACATTCCCAGCGAGCCATATAAGGTAATTGCTGTGCGATTTCACAGTGGCCAAGAGCACTCTACCTGGGACTGGGTGGGCTGCCCACGGTCTAGGTACCACATTATCCATGGGAACTTGACCGACTCACCCTCCTTAAAAGGCCCATTTTTCAGATGGCAAAACCGAGGCAGGCTCAGAGAAGGGTTTTCTAGGATCTTGAAGCTAGTAAGCAGCAGTCAGGCTTTGAACCCGGCACTGCCCAACATCTGAGCGTATGCACTTGACCTTTGAGGCAGGCCAGAGGTGGTTACAGTACTCAGCACTGTAACTGAACACTACAAAACGGTGTCCTGTGAGTTCTACCCACCATACGGTAGGATCCATGCAAGAGGTGTGTAGCCCCACACCTTCCACCAGGTCAGAAACAGGAAGGGGATGTTACGTGCAGGTTTGAAGTGTGAGCAGGTGTTGAGGGTTCTTGCCTTCACAGGCCAGAGAACCGGCTCATGAGGCAGTCGACTTGTAAGCCAAAGCTGGTATACAAAGTAGGATCTATTAGAGAGAAAGGAAAGGCTACAGCTAGAGCAGTTCAGGGAGGCCCAGAAACCTGTAGCTCCCTGCTCAGGTGAAGGCTGGGGCTTTTATGGACGTAGTAACTCTGGGTTAGATGAGTTCTTTTCATTGGCTGTGGATTCATGGGCTTTCTTAAACAAACTGGTCAGTGTGCCTCTTATTGGGGGAGGGGAAACAATCTTGAGGGCATTTTGCTCATCAGCCCAGTGGCAGATCTATCAGGCCCTGCATCTCCTGTTCAGAATGCAGAAATGCAGCTTTACAATTCCTTCTCAGGGTACAGGAATCCAGATTTACAACTCCTTCTCAGGACGCAGGAATTCAGGTTTATAATTCCTTCTCAGCATGCAAGAATCATAGTGCTCTCCATGGGGGGATGGAGTACTCACTCATCTGCCTTAGGTCTCCAGACCCAACAGGGAGAGAGAGGGTGCCAGCCACTGGGATTTTGCATTTCTGGTTTCCTGCAGCACCTCCCAACACACTGAACTTCAGTGGAGCCCACCGGAAGAGGAAAACGCTGGTGGCCCCGGAGATCAACATCTCCCTGGACCAGAGTGAGGGCTCTCTACTGTCCGATGACTTCTTAGATACCCCTGACGACCTGGACATCAACGTGGACGACATCGAGACACCTGATGAGACCGACTCACTGGAGTTCTTGGGAAACGGCAATGAACTTGAATGGGAAGGTAAAGACCAGGGGTCCCTGACAGGGGCCCGGCCCAAATCTGGGTCCACATAACTTCTGATTTTGTAAACCATGTCCTGGAGGGTTCTGTGGCCATGGCTGTATCCCCACAGACCAGAGAGCGGCCTGTGGTGCAGACCTCTAACCTGGGGACACAGGACAGCCCATGGAGGGAGCATCAGTCCTGCCACTGGCTGTACATTTTTCTTGTAGACTTGTAGTTTTTCTGGGGATTGTGGCTTTCACCAGAGGTTCACAGGTAACTGTGTGGACTCCATCTGATTGCATTACCCTGGGGCTGGTCCTAACTGAAGGGCTGTGGATATGGCAGGAACCAGACAGAAATAGATGGTCCCCAACCATGTATGGGTCATCAGAAAGACAGACACTAAATAACAAAACAGATACGCGCGAAGACCTTGGTCCTTGGTGCTTACAGGAAAATAAGGTGATAGAATGGGATGGGGTCCCTGCCCATGGGACCCTGGCCATGTCTGGGGACATGTGTGGCTGTCATGACTAGGGAGCTCCTGGCATAGAGTAGGTGGAGCCAGCGATGCTGCTCAGTGCCCTGCAGGGTCAAGGACACCAATTCAGAATGACCCAGTCCAGTGTCCCCTGTGCCCAGGGGCAGAGACCTTGAGCTACGTAATGAGGTATGGGGTCCCTTTTAAAGGATGGTGGGACAGGCCTCACTGGGAAATGTTACCTGAGCTGAGATCCTGTGTGACTGGGGTGGGGTGAGAAGGGAGGCAGCTCCTGAAGGACTTAGGAGGCCTTGAGAGAAGTCCAGCTTTTATTCCCAGGATGGTTAAAACCTGTAGCAGAATCAGCCAGATCTGATTTCCTGCAAATGTCCAGAACAACAACTCTTGCACTGGGGGGCAGGGAGGCTGGAGAGGAAGCAGGGGACCTCCTAGGTGGTGGCGATAGCCATGCAGGTGTACCCTACTGAGCAGTCCTGGTCAGGTGACCATGAATTACAAAGTGGAGGAGGGCTCTTGGCCTGAGCACTGGGCACAAGGTCACACCATGTCTTGAGGCAGAGGGAGCAGGTAGGATGGTGGTGGTCACTTCAAGAGTGGTTAAGAAGCCCAGAGACGGAAATACTGTGTGCAAGCTCACACAGCAAATCATTTGTAGAGTTGAGTCCAGGTCTGGCAGAGTGGCTCAAGTCATAGAGTGCTTGCCTAACAAGTGTGGGGCCCTGAGTTCAAACCCTAGTGCTGCCAAAAAAAAAAAAAAACCAAAAAAACCTGGGTCTAGGTTGCCTGGCTCCTACCCCTGATCACTTTCCCATGTTCTGTGACTTAAGTCACATTTAGCAGTGTAGGATAAGTTGTTTTGCCTGAGATTCAGGAGAGACAGGGACAGCGAAATGCCCAAAGGACATTTCAACCCTACCTGGTTGAACACAGGTAGGGAAGGGGGTGACAGGGCTGCTCCTTGTAGTCCTTGGCTCCAGTTGCTCACATCTGTTAGAGGATGACAGAAATACAAAGTGACCATTAAGCATGGAAGGGACAGGGTGGGGCTGGTGGGAGAGGTGCAAGGGGCCCAGGGCAGCTGCTGGCTGGGGGTGCAGTCATGGATGGCTTCTTAGAGGAGGTGGCATTTGTGACAGAGGAAGATAGGTGAACAGGGCAGCCAGGAGGAAGAAAGTGAAGGATATGTGGCCGCTGGCAACAATGACAGACACAAGAGGGAGGCTAGGGGGAGTCTGGAATGAAATGTCTGGACTTAGGGGTCTGTTCTGCTTGCCCCCTGGCCTGCTTCTAGACGATACTCCGGTGGCCACTGCCAAGAACATGCCTGGGGACAGTGCAGATCTGTTTGGGGATGGTACAGCAGAGGATGGCAGTGCTGCCAACGGGCGCTTGTGGCGGACAGTAATCATCGGGGAGCAAGAACACCGCATTGACCTGCATATGATCCGGCCTTACATGAAGGTGGTCACCCACGGAGGTGAGCGCACCTCATGCTCCTCCTCCCACTCCGCTCAGGGAACACTGGGAAACTGGGGATCTGTCAGTGCTCCTCTCTGGACCTCAGTCTCTTCATCTGACCTGCACGGATGTTAACCCTGAGGAGGGTGGGCAGGCCGTGGACGAGACATGGGGGTGCCTGTGAGGGTGGCCGTCATCCCCCACCAAAGCAGAGACTGCTCAGGAGGCACTGGCTCCCGTGCCAGGTGCTGGGCTCAGAGCTGTACTCTCCTGAGTGTGTGGGTGGTGGGACACGATGGCCAGCCATAGGGTAGACATGGGACAGATGTCATGCATGCGGCAGCTCAGAGCTAAGAGACCAACCGCCCCGTTGTTGCCTGGAGTTATTGTGCTGCTCACAGGCTGCCTGTCCCCAGGGTACTACGGCGAAGGGCTCAACGCCATCATTGTGTTTGCTGCCTGCTTTCTCCCGGACAGCAGCTCCCCAGACTACCACTACATCATGGAGAACCTCTTCCTGTGAGTCGTTGCCTGCGGGGCAGCCTTGGGGCTCTGAGAGGCGCGGGCTGGCCCTGGGGAAGGGCGTTGTGTCAGCAGACCTGGATCTAAGCCTCTGTTGTCCACTGCCTATGACCTTCCTTTGGGGTCTCCCTGTCCTCATCATTGTCATCTTCACCATCACCACCACCATCATCACCTCCACCACAACTATCACCACTATCACCACTACCACCATTAATTATCATCTCCACCACCACCATCATTACCACCATCACCATCACCACCATCATTGCCATCACCACCATCACCACCCCCATCACCACCATCAACATCACTACCATCACCACCACCATCACCACCACAACCATCTCCACCACCACCACCACCACCATCATTGCCATCACTATCACCACCATCACCATCATCACTGCCATTACCACCATCACCACCTCCACCATCACCACCCCCATCACCACCATCAACATCACTACCATCACCACCACAACCATCTCCACCACCACCACCACCACCACCCTCATAGCCACCGTCACCATCATCACCATCACCATGATTTACTGAGGAATTACTAAGTGACAGCCAGGAGGCCAGGTGTTCCGTGTGTAACCATACCCCACCTTTACCACAACCCTCTTGCCTCCCACTTTTCAAGCCAGGGATCTGGACACAGCACAGTTAAATCCCGTGCCCAAGAACACCCAGGTGCAGTTTGTTATGACGGATACAGAGAAAACATGGAGCCGGGCGTGGTGGCTGCACTCAGGGGGCTGAGGCAGGAGTTCACAGTTTGATACCAGCCTAGACTACATAGTGAGACACTGTCAGAAAGAGACAGAAATGGAAAATAAGAAAGAATAATGTAAAGTCCCTGGTAGATAGTATTAGGAGTTCAGTAAAACTTAATTACTCTTTTCTTTTGGGGTGCTGGGGGTAGACCCCAGGCCTTGGGCATGCCAGGCAAGCATTCACCCTTGAGATCCCCCCAGCCTTGTTACCTCTCCTGTCATTGTTACTGCTAAGATTTCTGTCTCATGCAGTGGGACTCAGCTGCCAGGTTGGACCCCAAAGGACAGAAGGGACAAAGAAAGAAGTGGTCTGGGCAGTTGGAGGGTGCTCCACGCATGGAGTGGTAGAGGCCAGGGATGCTGCCCAGCGCCTGGCACGGCCCAGGACATGCCCCCAGGAACGAGCCAGCCCAGTGTGCACAGGGAGCAGGGGACCCTGTTCTCACTACTGTCATGGAATCAATCACCGCCATTCCTCCATCCCTAACTCTCCACCCATTCGCCAAGCAGCTCTTGACACCCAGCTGGGCCTCCGTGGATGGGGTGCAGTTACCCCTAAAGGTCTCACGGCTGGGGGAACAGCCCACTCCTGAGCCTCACCTCCCCACCCAAACAGCTGCCACGCTGTGTTGGTTGGCTCTCCATGGAGGGCAGACACATGGGCCTCAGGCGACAGAAGGTATACATGGACAGTGAGAGCAGAAAGTGACCAGAGACACCACGGAGCCCAGTCTCTCCCGATGGGGAGGCAGCAGCCTGGAGGGGAACATTTACCTGAAACCATGCAGGGAGAGGCGGACCCCAGGGGACGCGTCTGCTGTACCTCCAGCCCTTTGCGGGCACCTGTTCCCTGCTATAGTGAGGGCTGACATGCAGCTGTCAGCATTGGTCTCAGGAGATGTCAAGTGAGATAACGCATAACAGACTTTGAGTCTGTTCCCGATAAAACTATGGCCACAGATACAGATTAGGGTGTGTGAGGGGTTCCACGTCTACTTCCCTTCCACAGTGCACCAGACACACACCTGCACAGGGGTGCCATACCAGCCCAGGAGTTTCCATCCTGTACACACCTGTTCAGGTGTGACTGGCCCAGTGAGAGCATGGGTGGGCCTAGACAGGGCAGGTGCCGCAGGCATCCTGACACTGAGTGCCTGTGTGTTGGGTCCCCAGCTTTGGTCTCTCCACCCAGGTACGTCATCAGCAGCCTGGAGCTGCTGGTGGCCGAGGACTACATGATCGTGTATCTGAATGGAGCCACCCCCCGGCGGAGGATGCCGGGCATCGGCTGGCTGAAGAAGTGTTACCAGATGATCGACAGGAGGTGAGGGTGGGAGGGGCGGGGAATAGCCACTGGCGTGAAGATTTCATCCCATGATTTATATATCTTCTCCAGAACCTTCCATCCTCCCAAACTGAAGTTGTGTCCCCATTCAACACTAACTCCCCTCCCCAACCCAGTCCCTAGCGCCCACCATCCTACGTCCTGTCTGTGTGGATCTGTCCACTCTAAGGACCTCCTATGAGTGGCGTCCTGCAGTGTGTTTTCTTCTGCATCTGCTCATTTTACCTAGCAGTGTCCTCAGGGTCCATCCACACTGAAGCAAGTGTCAGAATTTCCTTCTTTTTCATGGCTGAGTAATATTCTGTCACGTGGATGGTCCGCGTTGTGTTCATCCATTCATCTGTCACTGGGCACTTGGGCTGTTTCCACCTTTTGGTTGGTATGAATGGCTTCAGAATCCTTGTACCCAGGCCAGTGGAGAGGGGTTCAGAAGCCCACTGGCCCCTGGTCTGGCACCAGATGGTGACAATAGACTCAGCTGCTAAACTCACATAGTCCAACTGCTCTGAAGTGGGGGTCTCTCCCTTACTCCCTCCCCAGGGTGGGACCTCTGGAATTCAGAGGCTGTGTGCCTACCCATCCCCATGGAGCCATGACTCCTGGTTGGGGGCAGGGTTTGGACCGGCACCTGGAGCCCATGGTTGGAATGAATGAATGCAGAATGCTTGCACAAGGCCCTCCCTCCCTGCCCCTGTCCCTCCCCAGGCACCCTTCCCCAGGGCTTGCCGATGAGACTGTGCCCCCCCTCCCCATATAGGTTGCGGAAGAATTTGAAGTCCTTGATCATCGTCCATCCCTCCTGGTTCATCCGGACCGTGTTGGCCATCTCTCGCCCCTTCATCAGGTGAGACCAAGGGATGGTCACCTGAGACCTAGTGGGGTGTGTGTGTGTGTGTGTGTGTGTGTGTGTGTGTGTGTTTAAAATGCATTTCCAAAACTCAGAAGGATCTTGAGTTCTAGATCAACCTGGGCTACATAGTGAGACCCTGTCTGAAAAAAAAAATGCAAGCCAAGTGCAGTGACTCACACAGGATAATCCTAGCTACTCTAGAGGCAGAGGTCAGGAGGATCATGATTCGAGGCTGGCTCAGACAAAAAGACCCTGTCTCCAATATAACCAGAGCCAAGAGGGTTGGAGCTGAAGCTGAAGACATAGAGTACCTACCTAGCAAGCACAAAGCCCTGGGTTCAAATCCAGTACCACCCCAAAAAAATGCATCCCATTTTTCTCTACAATGAATATGCGTTACTGCCTTAAACACCAATTTTATATATATATATGCTGAGCACCCCAATCCAAAAATCTAATACCCAAAATTCTCCAAGATCTGAAACGTCGACCACCAAGCATTGACAGCACAAGTGGAAAATTCCATACCTGACCTCAGGGGACAAACCACAGGCAAACACAGGTGCACTAAAAATATACACTCAATGCCAGGCACTGGTGGCTTCTGCCTGTCATCCCAGCTATGAGGGGAGTGTAATTAGAGAATAGTGGTCCAGGCCAGCTGGGCATAAATGCCAGACCCGATCCAGAAACAACTGAGGACTGGTAGAGTGGCTCAAGTGGTAGAGTATCTGCCTAGCAAGTGTGTGAGGTCCTGAGTTCAAATTCCAGTACCACCAGAACAAATTTTTAAAATAAAGAAGGGAGGGAGAGGGAGAAAGAGAGAGTGAGAAAAGGAGAAGAAGGAGGAGGAGGAGGAGGAGGAAAAGAAGAAGCCAGGTGCCAGTGGCTCACGCCTGTAATCCTAGCTACTCAGGAGGCAGAGATCAGGAGGATTGCGGTTCAAAGCCAGCCTGGGCAAATAGTCCTCAAGACCCTATCTTGAAAAAACCCATCACTAAAAAGGACTGGTGGAGTGGCTCAGGTGGTTAAGCACCTGACAAACAAGTGTGAGGCCCTGAGTTCAAACCCCAGTACCTCAGAATCTGTGTTGAGTTAGACGGTACATAATTTGCAATTTGTGTGTGTGTGTGTGTGTGTGTGTGTGTGTGTGGCAGCACTGGGGTTTGAACTCAGGACCTCCCACTTGCTAGGCAGATGCTCTGCTACTTGAGCCACACCTTCTCAGCCCTTCTGCTTCAGTGTGTTTTCAGATAAGTTCACATGCTTTGCCCAGCCAGTCTTGGATCATAATCCTCCTACCTCTGCTTCCCAAGTAGCTGAGATTACAGGTGTGTGTCATCATCCCCAAACCCCTTTTTTTAAGGTAGGGTCTTGCTATGTACCCAGACTGGCTTCCAACTCATAATCCTTCAGTCTCAGCCTCCCAAGGGCTGGGATGACAGGTGTGCACCTCATGTCCGGCACAATACTTTATTCTCTAGGAACTGTTAAGTGCCCTACTGGGGCTTATTTCCTCATCATGCAAATAGTTCATGCTTATTTGCATGATGTGGTGATGCTATTGATTGCATATTGTGCAAATGCAGTGCTTATTTTCATGTTGAGCAAATTGTGCCAATGATGGATCGCCCAACAAAGCGTTGAACATACACATGGCTCTAAGAGAGCTGTGTTTTGTTCTCTAGTTCTGTAATTGGGTAGAGTAAATTTGCCTTTGCAAATTTGTCCTCAGATTTCTTTGCCCGTGGAGAATTGGAGCGTGGCATTTGGGGCTCTAGAATAAGGAGTAGGGGAGCGAGGTTTTCCATTTAAAATTGAAGGCCAGGCGCTGGTAGCTCACTTCTGTAATCCCAGCTACTCAGGAGACAGAGATCAGAAGGATCATGGTTTGAAGCCAACCCAGGCAAATAGTTTGGGAGACCCTATCTCAAAAAACCCATCACAAAAAAGGGGCTCAAGTGGTAGAGTACCTGCCTAGCAAGTTCATGAGGCCCTGAGTTCAAACCCCAATGAAGGAGGCTTCAGACAATGTATGAGCTGTTACGTCATCCTGAGTGCCTGTGGCTGTAGCTAAAGGGAAGCTGCTATGATCTGTGACCCTATAAACATAGTTACAGACCCTTGGCTAGAACTCCGCTCCTGAGAGCTCCCATTGAGACTCACATCTCCATCTACAAACACAGTGGGACGAGACGCTTAGAAAGCTTTCCAGCAGTGACTGTGGTAGGTGTCACCACATTGTATCATTTTGTCACTTGTGCCTGTGTTTAGAGACCAGTGCTCTGATTCACAGGTGTTGGCTCTGTACGTGAGTTTAAAACTTTCTAACCAGAGTGGCCATTGTTCAAGTCCTCTGGACCCGATGCATTCAGGGACATCCTGCGCAATGCCAGCAAGATGGTTGGAGCAGGATTGTCCTTTCTGTCTGAGATTTACTCCTGCTCGTCCTTTTACCCTCCCTCATGCCAACTGCAGGGAGACCTCCACTCCAAGGATAATTGGTGCTTTGTCACTGTTTGTTTGTTTTCTTGCAGTACTGGGGCTTGAACTCAGGGCCTACACCTTGAGCCACTCCACCAACCCTTTTTTACAATGGGTTTTTCCGAGATAGGGTCTCGCAAATCGTTTGCCCAGCTGGCTTTGAACCCCAAGCCTCCTGATCTCTGCCTCCTGAGTAGTTAGCATTACAGGCGTGAGCCACTGGCGCCAGCCCTGTACCTGTTGTTTTAAGACTGTCTCCAGGCTGGCCTCACACTTGCAATCCTCCTACCTCTGCCTCCCAAGTTCTGGGATGACAGGCATGGGTCACCAGGCCAGATAATCAAGTAGGTTTTTCTAATTCTAAAAGTACATTCAAGGACTGGAAGTGGGTTCAGGCGGTAGCAAGTGTTAAGACCTGAGTTCAAACCAGTACCACCAAAAAATAATACATTCGAGCTGGGCACAGTGACATGGGAGATGTAGATCAGAAGTATTGCCATTCGAGGCCAGCCCAGGCGAAAGGAGTTTGAGATCCCGTCTCAGCCAACGGCTGCAGGTGCAGTGACCCATGCCTGTCAGCCTAGCTGCAAAGGGAGGAACAAACAGGGTTCATGGTCCAGGCCAGCCCAGGCACAGTGAGACCCTATCCAAAAAACAACCCATCAAAAGAGCTGGAGGCCCTCAGTTCAAGCCCCAGTCCCACTGCAAAAAAAAAAACAAAAAAAAAGGAATAGGGCGGTTGCCACACGGTCCTCTCCTTGTACCCCACTGACCATTGGTGTACCCCTGGATAGTGACCTGGAGGACAAGCGACCTTGGGAAAAATTGCCAGGGCGATTGTTAGCGAGATCACCATCCGGTAGCATGTCCTTGTCTCCTTCCTTACACCAGACCCCCACCCCTCAGCATAGCCAGTGCTGGGCACACAGCCCTTGCCAGGGCTGATTTTCACCCTAGGAGCACCAGGGCACCCAGGGTGGCATTGGGCAGGTCGGCAGGTTGGAACTAAGGTGGGGGATGCTGGAGTGGGGCTGTGTCACCATTGCTCTGGACCCCTGGTGGCCACCCCATGGCTGCCCTCAGACCCTCCCTTGTTCTCCTGGCAGCGTCAAGTTCATCAGTAAGGTCCAGTACGTGCACAGCCTGGAGGAGCTGGAGCAGCTCATCCCCATGGAGCACGTGCAGATCCCAGACTGTGTCCTGCAGTAAGTGACACCCTCACCTGCCCCACCCCCGCCCCCAGTTCTCATGGCCCAGTCCTGTGAGCCCATGTAATTTATTCCATGGACCCCTCGGGCTCCACCCAGAGCTGGGCATGACGGGAGCTGTGTGTTCTGTGCTTTCCTCATGAAGCATTTGTCATCCACATCCCCCATCTCTCCACGCCATAGAAATCTCCTTTGCATCACTGTTTCAAATTGTGGCAAAATATGCATCACATAAAATTGACCATTTTAATCAGGTACCTGTGGCTCACACCTGTAATCCCAGCTGCTCAGGAGGCAGAGTTAGGAGGATTGCAGTTGGAGGCCAGTCCAGGCAAGTAGTTCACACCACGAGATCCTATCTCGAAAAAACCCATCACAAAAAAGGGCTGGTAGAGTGGCTTAAGTGGTAGAGTGCCTGCCTAGCAAGTTGAGACCCTGAGTTCAATCCCCAGTGTCACCAAAAAGAAAAACTAGATCATTTTAACCATATTGAAGTGCATGTTGTAACAACATGGCACATTAGCATGGTTGAAGCTGCCCACACTGACCATATCAAGAACGTTCTATCTTCCCTCTGTCCCCTCAACACCAACCCCGCCCCTCCCCAGCACCCACCATCCTGCTTCCTGTCTCTGGCTCTGACGACTCCAGGGACCTCCTGTGAGTGGCGTCCTGCAGTGTGTCCTTCTGCGTCTGCTCATTTCTCTGAGTGTCCTTAAATTTCATCCATGTTGTAGGAAGTGTCATAAAATCCTTCCTGGATTGATTCATTTGTTTGTTGCAGTACTTGAGATTGAACCTAGACCTCATGCATGCTAGGCAAGTGCTCTACCACTCAAGTCACAGCCCCAGTGTATTTTATTTTATTTTGTTTTTAAGATAGGGTCTCACTAACTTCTCGAGGGTGGTCCTGGAACTCAACATCCTCCTGCCTCTGCCTCCCATGTGGCTGGAATTATAGGCATCCCTCCTTCCTTTTAAAGGCTGAGTAATATTCCATTGTGTGGCTGGATCACATTGTGGATATCATTCATCTGTTGATGGATGCTTGGGGTGGATATCTTTTGGCTTATTGTGAATAGTTCTGCTATGAACATGAGTGTGCAAATACCTCTTTGAGACCCCACTTCCAATTCTAGTGGAAATAGACCTGGAAGTAGAAATGGTAATAACTCTAGGTTTATTTTTTTTCTTTTGCATTCTGAGGCTCAAGCCCTGGGCCTTGCACATGCCAAGCAGTCTCTGACCACTGAGCCACACCCCCAGCCCTTGTTTTTGCTAGACAGGGTCTCTCTACGTAGCCCAGGCTGGCCTGAAACTCGTGATCCTCCTGCCTCCACATCCCAAGTGCTGAGACTATAGGTGTGTGCCACACCTATCATGTTTGATGACTGCCTAATAGTTGACTACCTAGCAGGTATAATTCTCATAAGACCAGCTCCCAAAGAAGCAGAGATCTTAAGTGCAAAGCAGCGGTTTGCAAGCCATGAACCTTTGCTTGTTTTAATAAAGTTTTACTGGCACACAGCCATCCCCCTTCACTTACACAAACATCGGTGACTGCGTTGTACTATAGTGGCAGAGTTGAGTGGTTGTCACAAAGACTGATCTTCAAGGGTGAAAATATTTACTCCTGCCCCTTTACAGAGAAAATCTTCCAGCCCCCACTTGGAACAGCAAACGGTCTCTGCTATTATTGAGTATGCGTTTGTGAGCAGGAGCTGTCCAGTTGCCAGTGCTGAATTAGACAACTGTCTGCAGAGTGCGTGTCTGCAAATGCTGGGGGACATTGGCTCAGATCTGCCCTGCCCTGGGTGCGCTTGCAAAGTAAACTCAGGGCAAGGCACCTGCCCCAGCTGTCATCTCACGCTGTTCCTTACTGCTCTGTGGCCTGCTGTGTGCACAGACATGTCTACAAAGGTCTTTATTGGCTCAGAAAGGGTAGGAAACTCCCCCAGAAAGTGTGTCTACAGGGGAAAAGCAGGAATATGCTGACGTCTTTTTCCTTCTTTCAGGTATGAAGAGGAGAGACTGAGAGCCAGGAGAGAGAGGTGTGTGTGGCAGTGGCTTCAGTGAGGGCTACTGGGGATGGGGGCTGAGCCAGGCTCTCCTATGATGGCTGGTCTGGTGGCCTGCACTCAGCAGAGACCAATGAATGCCCACTCATGGCTCAAGACCCTGCTCTATGGAGAGAGCTTTGGAGTCAGTCCCAGGTTTGAATCCTAGCTCCCCCATTTAGAGCCAGAGTGATACAAAGCAAGTAAAATATTAACAACTGCTTGGAAGTTATGGTGAAAAATCAGGGACCCACTTGACTAAAAGAGTGGCACAGACTTCACGTTCAATGACAATAATGGTCGTCACCCCAACAGTATCAAATTCTCCCTTGCAGAGTGAACACAACCTGAATCCACCCAGCAGACACGTTAATGTACCTTCGCTAACTGAGAATGATTTTGTTTTAGTGGTACTGGGATTTGAACTCAGGGCCCCATACTTGCTAGGCAGGCACTTCACTACTTGAGCCACTCCACCAGCCCTTCTTTTGTGATGGGTTTTTTTCAAGATAGAGTCTGGAGAACTATTTGCCCAGGCTGCCCTTGAACCGAAATCCTCCTGATCTCTGCCCCCTGAGTAGCTAGGATTACAGGCATGAGACACCAGTGCTCACCTAATTGAGTCTGTTTACTACTGATGTAATCATTAAGGTGCTCAGAATTTTGGTACTATTTTGGCCTTTCCCACTTATGGAATTTTATTGGGGTTTATTTTTGTTGTTGTTTGTTCTGTTTTTGTTTTATTTTGTTGGATAAGGGTCTCACTGTGGAGCCCAGTCTGGCCTGGAACTCATGATCTTCCTGCCTCAGCCTCCTAAGTTCTGGGATTACAGGCATGAACCACCACACCTGTCTGATGAGGGTTCCAATTTCTCCACATTCTTGTCAATAGTTATTTTCTGTTTTTATGATAGCAGCCATCTGAATGGGTGTGAGATCATAATATCTTCCTCTGTCTCTCCCTTTCCATCTGAGATGTACTCCCTACCTTCTAAGTCTCAGCTTAGACATGAACAAGATAGGTAAGCCACCCCGCTTCCAGAATTACAGTCATGGAATAGGAGCCCAAAATGTGTCAGGTGCAGTGTTGTACACCTGTCACCTCAGCACTAGGCAGGCTGAGGCAGCCTGGGTCATATAATGAGGCCTGTCTCAGAAAGGAAAAGAAGTGCCTGCCTAGCAAGCACAGGGCCCTGAGTTCAAACCCCAGTCCCAGAAAAAACATGCAGCTGAGGATAGCTTAGGGTCTTTCCTTCCCCACAATCCATTTCCTCCCCACACAGCCGCCCCATCTTTATTAACTCTAATGGCCATGTCTTTCCCAGCCTGGACAGCAGCAAATCATCTCTGCCCCCCTGGACGCAGCACTTCCCAGAGGCAGCAAACCCATCTCCAAACTGTCCCCAGGCCACATCTGCACAGGTTACAAAAGCCCCTGGGCACAGGGCAGTTAGCCACTCCTTGTCACCTGGCTCTCTCTGTCCACAGCGCAAGGCCCCAACCAGAATTCCTTCTGCCCAGGTCTGAAGAGAAGCCAGAGGCGGTGCCAGAGGAAGATAGGTGAGTGTGTAGGGGACCATGGGGCAGGAGGGGCACCATCTTGCTGCTGGATCCCCTGAGGGATGCTGGGGGATAAGACAGGACCCATTTGAAGGGCAGAAAATAAACTAGATAATCTGGAAACCCATGAACAGATGGACATGCAGCTGTGCAGTTTCCATGTTGATGGGCTCAGTTCCAACCAAATCCCACCAACCACATGCCCGGGCCTCTGAGGGCTGTGATGCTGGGGCCCCTCCCAAATTATGCCACGCATGACCACAGGAGCCCAAACCACAGTGAATGGGGCACCGGGGGAACCAAGAATCCCCAGGGAATCCCCCAGTGAAGTTGGGGACAGGCCCTCCCTGGCCTGTCACATCCCTCAGCCAGAAGTTTAAACACATCAGCTTCCAGGTAGGCATCGTGTCCATCTCTGCCTGCCCATTCCCAAGTGTGGCCGTGGGTATGTGTGTCGTGGCCCTGGCCCCAAGGGTGGTCTTCTGTCAAGGTCAGGCAGACATTTGAGTGTAAAACCCACTCGATTTTAAAATGGACATGAAATTCATGCATTGCAAAATTAACCACTTTATAGGGACTGATTCAGTACATTCACCATCTGGTTCCAGAACATTCTGTCACCTCAGGTGGAGATGCTATCCACACCAGCTCTCCATTCCCTTTCTCCCTGGTCTGGTCAGTTGTTGGTGTTTTGTTTTGTTTGAGACAGGACCTCACTGTGTCCTCAGACTCGTGAACCTCCTGCCTCAGTGCTGGGATGAAAGGCATGCCACCACACCTGGCCAGTTTTGTTTTTCAAGTGGAGGAGGCATTACTGAAAGTCCTTTAGCCTTGCTTTGGCATGTGTTGACAAGCCCACCGTGGCCCTCACTCTTTATCTCTTTAGTGAGGTCATCCTCCTGCATTTGATCCCTGTCACGCACAGCCTGGGCCTGTCATGCCTCTCCTGCCCTTGTTTCCTGAAGGCAGGCACTCTAGCTAGTGACATCCCCTCCTCCTCCTCCTCCAGCACACACTGAGAAACCAGGTCCTGCTCTGCAGTGAAGGTTCTGGAAGGTGACCTTTGTCCCAAGTTCCAGTGCATAGGCTCAGCCCTGTCAGAGGCATGGTGAACCCCAAGCTACATCATGGTTTCATTTTGTGGCAGTGAAGGCCTTGGCTGGTTTCCTTGCACCCACTTGTTCTGGCTCATCTGTTACACAGCAAGGGCATGCTGACATCTGCTTTGTACCAAACTAAGACAAGGCAATGTCAGCCCTCACGGGTGCCACAACCTCAACCAACAGGTGGACAATGTCCAGGCTCCCTAAAATAGGCAAATAACGCCAAGCCTTCTGTCTCCCACAGGTCTGGTGAAGTTGCAGAAGACCAGGAAACCAGGTGTGTGTGACACAGGGCAAGTGTGGGAGCCGTTCTTGAAAAGTCCTATGATTTACTGGGAGTGAGGGAGGCGGTGGCTACCAAGTAGTCAGCTTCCTGTGCACAACTCCAGGGGGCGCTGTTATACAGACCATGGTGCCAGTTCCACCCTATGCTGTGCAGTAAGGCAGCCCTGATTGTGATACCCAAATACAGCCAGGTCCCCCTAACCCAGGTACAACTCAGTGAGAAGATGCAGTCTGCCCAAGGCTGTCTCAGGTCCCTCCTGATTCTGGATGTCAAAAGAAAGTCTCCTTCTGTGTTACTGGTCCCCAGGGCCAATGGTTTGCTAGAAGGACTGGCAGAATTCAGTAGAGCTCTTACATTCATGGTTATGGTACAACTAAGAACCAGGGAAGGGAAGAGGTGCATGGGGTGGGGTCCAGGTGAAGACAGGTAGAGGCCTCCAAGTGTCTTCTCCAAGTGAAGATGGGACTACACACAGTGCTGCGAAGCAGGGAAGCTCACACGAGTTCTGGTAGATTCTTGAGTGACAGCCATGTTTACCTGGCTGACCTCACCCCCCCATCACTGACCTTAGTCTCCAGCCCTCCCCGGAGGTCCAGCTGATACCAAGAGAACTGGGCTTCACCCTAACTCACGTTGTCGTAGACTGTCGGTCATGAGCCAAGGCCCTAGGTAGTCTTATCAGGCAGGAGGCTCCCGGGGATTAGTCACAGGGACTGAGGTAGGGGCAAAGCTTCCTTTCTTTTCTTTAGTGAAGGTGATAGTAATGTTTATGAGGAAAAGAATGCACTGCCAAGAGACTAAAGTGGTCAGCTCTAGTGTGAGGATGACCCCAAAGCTTTCTTTAGAATGTGCAGTGTTAATCCATCAGAAATGGCCTCAATGCCTCCCCAAGGCACAGAGCAGAAATAAGCACTGAAAAATGCATAGCTGCAAAGACAACCTGGACCCACACTCTCTGGGTAGGTCACGTGCACAAACCCAAAACACACAAGGAAGTCATCCACCATAAGCCAAAGCAGATACAAAAGATAGCAGAATTAGGCCTTCTCCTAGGGAATCCCTAGGTAGATCCTGTTTCCCTGGGATGATAGAAATAAGCAAGCTTACAGGATTAAAAATGCAAAATGAGAAATCATGGCAGGGGCGTGGACAGAAGGATTTATGGATGCATGAGTGGATGGATGAATGGATGGATGTTGGATGGGTGAATTGTTGATGGGTAAGTGGGTGGATGGATAAATGTACTGATGAATGGATGGATGGGTGGATGGATGGACTGATGTATAGTTGATGGATGTCTAGGTGATGGGTGGGTGGGTAGGTGGATGGACTGATGTATGGACAGTGGATGGATGGATGGGTGGATGGATGGACTGATGTATAGTTGATGGATGTGTGGGTGGGTAGGTGGATGGACTGATGTATGGACAGTGGATGGACGGATGGATGGATGGATGGCTAGATGGAGTGATGCGTATATGGTTGGGTAGGGTAATGGATGGATGAGTGGGTTGGTTGAAGCCTCCCTCCACTCTGACTGAGACCAGGAGACTCCAGGACCCACGCTGTCTGGATAGGTCACGTGCACATCCCCACCAGGAGAGATGCCCATCAGAACCACACTGGGCACGTAGGTGGCAGGTGGCCAGCCCTCCTGTTAGGAGCTGGTGAGATCACTCTTTTGGATTCCACACATGTGGAAGAGCATCTTCCTCTTACGGAAAGTAAATGAGTGCTTGCTTCGGCAGCACATATGCTAAAAGCAAACAACACAGAAAAGATTAGCATGGACCTGTGCAAGGGTGACGTGTAAATTCATAAAGCATTCCATATTTAAAAGAAGGAAGGAGGGAGGGAGGGAGAGAGGGAAAAGAGAGAAGGGTGAGGAGGGGGAGGAAAGGAGGGAGGGAGGAGAGGGAGAGAGGAGAGGGAGGGAAAATAAATGACCCTCTTGGCCTGTGTTTCTCCCTCTCTAGCATGTCCTGAGGTGGCGCCAGCATAGAAGAGGACACAAAAGAAGACTGCAGACACCAAGAAACCTCCATCAGACGTCCTCTGGTCCCAGGTCTCATCCCACCTTATCCTGCGTCCCAGTTTTCTGAGGGTGCCACTCTCCACCCACCTCTGGAACCTTGTGTCCATTTTAGCTGCTTGAAAACATGTTCATTTAAAAAAAAAACAAACAAAAAACCACAATGCAGTATTAGCACGTTTGGGAAAGGAGCAGGTTCTCAGCCCTCCATCCTTCCACACTCCTGAGCTCCCGGCCAGGAAGGTAAGACGTGCAGGATGTGACCCATGCTCCCAGCCCCCATGGCCACAGGACACCTCTTGCTTTCCCAGCTGGCCCCTGGCTAGTGCTGACGCAAGGTTCCAGATCCTTCTCTCACCTGTCTCCTGTCCCAGGTGGGAGCCATAGACACCTGTCAGCACTGGTCGGGCCTGGGTGTTCCTGTGCCTTTCCTCTCAGAACATGGTCCCTGCAGTGTGGCCCACTGGCCTGGACATTCAGCCCCTCCCAGCAGGGCAATGCCTCGGGCGCCTCCTGGCCTTGATCTCATGTTCCAAATCCTCACCCTGGCTTGTCATTGGATAGCCCTTCACCTCTAAGGACATCACTTTCCTTGGGAGCCTTCGAGCCCATTGCACAAGTGAAAACTGATAATGGTCAGCCGTGTCACGTGGTTACAAAGACACCCTGTCCCAATCCAGAACATTCTCAAGCCCCTTTACCTCGGATGCCACAGCACAAGGCAATCACAACCGATACCTCTTCCCAAAGGAATGAATTGTGCCCACCTCCCTGTCCCCCCACAGGGCTGGAACACACACTGTGGGCTCCCACCAAGAGGGGAGGCTGAGAAGCCTGCTCTGAAATACGCAAACTGAGAAAAAGGAAGATACAGGGTACTTACTGAATGCTGTGGTGTTTCAAAGGTCACTTGAGAAAATAAATCCCAGTGAACTAGACGTTGTGGTCCCCTGATTTCCAAGCAAGAACCCGTGGATTCTCACCCAAGAGCACATTTCCCTAGGATGAAAGTCAGACTGTGCTCCTGGGCCCTGAGCAGCACTGGGGAACTCCCACACAGTGAGCCCCCACCCCCCGACTCTGGGGACATTTAAGAAGAAGGAGGACGGGGTTTGCAGAGAGTGGTCTCCTGTGCCAAGTGTGTCTGTGTGGTTGAGTCTGAGCAGGCACATTCTCCCTGCCCCGGTACTGGGCTCTTGGTGAGTGCTGCGTGGTCAACCAACTCTGCAAGAAGATCGTTGGCCTCCATGAAATGTTCGATGCTCCCAGACCTGGGACGGCTGGAGCATGCCTTTTGAGTTATCTGAACAGCAAGAGGGTGCTGGTGGCATTAGCAGCAAAGAAAAAAAAAAAAAGCAGAGATGCAAAACAGTTTGCCACAAGGGACAGGGTCCTCTGTGTCCTGTGCCAATGTGCCAGCAGCTTCTGCGCTGAGAAGGATGGGGTATCCCAGCGAGTCTGGACCTGCAGACTCCACCATGGAGCTACAGATTAGGGCTGGGGACATCTCTGAGTCCTGGTGAGGCTGGAACATTAAGGGGTCTGGTGTTTTGTTTTTTTATTTAGGTTTCTCAAATGGTAAATAAAGGATAGGAGAGAGATGGTGTCCCGGCTCCCCATGGGTCCCCTGGAGCCTGAGGGAGCTGTGGCTGGTGGACAGGCCTCTCTGGGCTGCCCTCAAAGACCTCCACGCCCCAGGCCCAGCCCTTTCCTGCTCCTTCTCTTCTGACAGGAGGTTCTGTGGTTCTGGCCTTGTGAGATGATACCACATGGCCCAGAAGTCTCCAGGCTGTCCCTTCAGTGAATGGTGACTCCACCAAAGACACACAGGATACTGGAAACTGTCAGGCCACCCTGAGGAGGGCACCTGTGGCAGATGCCAGGTCTGGCTACCACAGTTTGTCCTCATTGACCAAAGGTACATGGTCTACCATGAACCTTTTCTTCCTGTCAGTGATGGTGAGCCTTCAATGAAGACCAGGGACCCCCCCCCAAGTCAAAAAAAGGAGCCAACGATAGAAATAAATTCATTCTACCCAGTCTGACAATTAAAACCGAGTGCCTACAGTGGCAGGTGACAGAGTGGCAAGACCCCATCCACCCTCAAGGAGCCAGCAGGCTGAAGATCCAGGCCACCAGGAAACTCTGGTGGGGACCACCTGTTCCACAGCCATGGTCTGCCGACCACCCCTTCTGGATCACCAGCTGCCACAGGGGACAGGCAAGCGGCCCCAATTTGGCTGCAGCAGACCTCCAGAGAGAAGAGGCCCCAGCAGGCACCCCTGAGACAGAGGCCACCTGTCTGCAGGTGTGATGTTACACAGCTCTGGTCAAATGGGGGCACTGTTCCTCGGCCAGTGGATCGTCCAAAAACTGGCTTTGTGATAGATTTGTTCTGGGGGCCAAAAGGCAATGGAGCCCGAGCCTTCTTTGAAAAGGGATGCTGGGTTTCTCTCTTGGGACACCTGGGATGCGTCCTAAAACCTCCTCAGAGGGGCCGTTTGTACCCCACCCTTCCCACGGCAAGACCTGCAGGTTTTGAATGCAGAAATGACTGTAGTAACTGCTGTCGTGATGTGAAGATACCATAACCGTGAGCTTTGGGGATTTTTATGTGAAATAAATAAAGTGTAACTAAGAGAGGAGACTTGAACCCTTTTACTGTTTTCTTGGCACCGGTGTGGGCACAGAGTGGAGAGAAAGCCTCAGACAGTGAATCTGGGTTTGAGGCCTGAATCTAAGACCCATAGCTAGTGACCACTCCCTCCATAACTGGGGACACAAGCCACCAGCCAACTGCTGGAGAATTGTGGGTGCCATGCCTCCCAGACAGTCAGAGTCAATCTGCCAAGGTCAAGGACGGTAGGACTCCATGATGAGGACTTTGGGACTCAGTGGGGTAGTAAGGATACCAAGGCAAGTGCCACAGGTCTCTGCAATGTTCTCACTGGGGGTGGTGGTTGGGAATAGGCAGGTGTGAGCTCACCTGGCTGTACCATGCGCCTCGAGGGACCTCTGACAAGTAGCCCCTCCCAGAGAGGTGGCCTCATGGGGCTAGGAGAAGGTGCCCAGGCCAGCAGAGAAGAGAAGGACTCAGAGCTGTGCTGGAATCACAGAAGCTCCTCGGTTTGGGGGGAATAGGGTGGTCACCCCCATTCCTACCTCACTGAGGCTCTGATTATCCTGCGGGGGTGCCTGAAGACCTCACAAACTCATCCATTTACTTGTGCACTCATTCACTCATTTAAGGGCTCTCAGGGGACCAGCTCCTCACATGGCTCCCGTTCCAATTGAGGAGTGCAACCTGGAGACCCAGGGTCTCCGTGAGGACCAGCACAGGCCAGGAAGCCTCCCTTCCTGATCCAAGATTCAATGGTGAAGTAGCAGGGGCCAGGCCAGGCCAAAGGAAGGAAAGGTCCCCCTGTGGCAGCAGAGGTAGGTTGGAGCTGGGAGTAGTGCAGGACATAAGGTGAGCGGGAGAAGCCAGAGGAGGGCCTGGGACCGGCCAGCTTTCATGAGTGAACAGAAGCCAGAGCTCAATGGAGAGACTGTTCTTTTTGGTTTTGATTTTGATAAAATGAGTCACTTCACATAAAGTCAGCCATTTTTAAAAGTGCATTCAGCATGGGCAACCAAACTTTGTCTAGTTCCAGAACATTCTATCACTACAAAAGGAAGCACTCCCCCCATCCCCATGAGCAATTTCCCTGTTTCCTCCCCAGCCTCTGGCACCTTCAGCCCACCTCCTGTCTCTGGATTCACTTGTTCTAGACATTTCTTATTAATGGAGTCACACATACTGTGTGACATTAGGGTCACTGGTTAATGTCATCGGCCCCCAGGCTGTTTAAGGCCCTGAGCGTCTTCCTTCTCCCCTGGCCTGTGGGGAGGCAGGCATTGACCCTCAGGTCTCCCAGGTCTTCATCCAGACCCATCACAGTCATCTGGGGCCTCCATGGAGGCTCCCAGAAAATCCTTGCCTCCCAAACTGGGCCAGAGATCCAACCCAGGAACTAGGCTTTCCTGGCGGGAACCTCAAGCTCATAGACTCAGCCACCCACCCAGCTGCCCAACCAGGCAGCCCAGAGAGGGACAGAGTGGACCCTCAGCCTGGGTGGCTTGGCTGGAGGCAGGAGGGAAAGTGAAGGTCCAGCTGGGAAAGACCACAATGGCAGGCGCTTAGCACGTGGCCCCAAGGCCACCTTCCTCCCCTGACCTCTGCACTAGGTCCATCCCACCTGGGGCCACTTAGGGATGCCAGACAGAAGTCTTGATTGACATTTATCAATGATTACATCATTCCAGGGGTGATCCAGAGCAACTGAGGGGTGTACAGGCCCTCTAGGTCACAGGAGGGCAGAGGGTAGGTTGAGGCAGTTGAACTTCTTTTAATGCATATGGAACGGAAAGAGTGTTTGTTTATTTCATGGTTTTCTGTTTGTCGTGGTAGTGGCCAGGCAGGTGCTCTACAACTGAGCCACACCCTGGGTTTTACAAAAGAAGAGAAGAAATACAAAGGAGGACTGGGCTGACCTGTAAGCCCCCAGCAGCCAGGAAGTTGGTATGTATTTCCTGGGGTCCCCACAAACTGGCAGACCAGAAATGTACTTGCTCACAGTTTTGGGGGCCAGAGTCCAAAATCAAGGTGTCTGAAGACTCCAGGGAAGAGCCTTCCTGCCTCTCCCAGCTTCTGGAGCTGCTGGAGTTTGAGTTTGTAGTTGCATCACTAAAGTCTCTGCCTGCGTTGTCATCTGGCTGCCCCCTCTATCTATGTCAAATTCCCCTCTCAGGAGGACCCCAGGATGATTCATTCCTTCTGACAGCATTTCATATTTATTTGTTTATTTGTGGGTTTTTTTTTTTTCTTTTTTGAAACAGGGTCTCTCTATATAGCCCTGACTAGCCTGGAACTCGCAATCCCCCTGCCTCAGTCTCCCCAGTGCTGGTATTATAGGTGGGTACTACTGTGCCTGCCTTCTCAAGCATGTAAATGTCAGCCTAGCACTTTTGTGGGCTCCTAACCTCAGGGAACTCACTGTGTGTGGGGGAGAGGGGGAATCCAGAAAGGCTTCCTGGGAGAGGCGCTGTCCAAGATGACACTCAATGGCCTGGGCAAAAGGAGTCAGAGGGAGGAAGGAAAAAGGGTAAGAAGACACTATGCAAAGGCCCTGTGGCAATGGCTGGCTTCTGAGGGCCTAGTGGGCCAATGGCAGGACCAGGGTTCAGCCTAACATTCTTAATGTGTTTCTGTTAAGTGCCAGGGGACTTGACACTTGATAGAATGTCCCTAAGATCCTTTCAGGAGGTCCCCAAGGTCAGTCACACATGGACAAAGATTACTTAAAGTATGAGATACATCAATAGATTTATTTATTTATTTATTGGCGGTACTGGGGTTTGAACTCAGGGCCTCACACTTGCTAGGCAGATGCTCCACCACTTGAGCCTCTCCACCAGCAGATCAAGAGATTTTAGTAGAACAGAGTATGAAAGAGACCATAAACCTCCAGTGGTCCAGCAGGGCTATAGAACAAAAAACAGCCTTGATTATCTGGAAAGAAAAGAAACTAGTCAAGCCATCTTCTCCTTTCTTCCTATGGGGAGCAGGATTTTCTTCCTACACATCATCCAAACAGCCTGTCAAGACAGGCTGAATGAAGAAGCAGATAGGAAACTCTTGCTGTCTTCTGCTAACTCAGACATTTAAGATACTTGTAAAGATGGAGAATCAGGGCTGAGGTGTGGCACGTGCCACCTGAGGCCCTGGGTTCATCCTCAGCACTGCAAACAACAACATAAAAGTTATAGTTACTAAGTTGAATGCTGGTGGCTCACTCCTGTAATCCCAGCTACTCAGGAGGATGAGATCAGGAGGATCGCAGTTTGAAGCCAGACCAGGGAAATAGTTCATGAGACCCTATCTTGAAAAAACCCTTCACAAAAAAGGGCTGGAGGAGTGGCTCAAGGTGTAGGCCCTGAGTTCAAACCCCAGCACCACAAAAAAAAAAAAGATAGTTAAAAATAATGGATACTTATTTATTTTATATTGCCTTATGTTATTTATTTAAATAGCTTTAAAAACAGTTTCATGAAAAATAGTTATTTTTCATTTTAAAGGTCAGGTTAGGCTAACTACTACATATTATATTTAAATGTTAATGAATGCTTTAATTTTTTCTGTTTTAATTGGTAGTGTGGTAAATATAATCAATGACTATAATCCACTTCCTCAAAAGCTCCTTGGAGCCCTGAGACTTTGTTTTTTTATTGTCGTGCTGGATGTCGTGTGGCATTTACACAGGTTCTTACAATGCATCAAATATGTCACACTTGAGCTCCCCCTCCCAACCCCGAGTCTTCTTAGAGTACCCAGATGCGTGTGTGAGTCAGCTGTCCATTATGGTGACAAGCACCTGAGGCGATCAGCTCACAGAGGAAAGGTTAATCTGGGCTCATGGTGGCTGAGGCTCCAGTCCATGGTCAGGTGGCCCCGTGACACGTCAGTGCATCATGGCCGAAGCATGTGGCAGAGTGAAAGTGAAACCGGACTTTTGCACCCAAGACCCAAACTCCTGAGATCCCACATGCCAGGTCCGGCCACCCACCCCTTAAACATCAAATAAAAAGGCATGGTGAAGACAGAGAAAGGAGTTTATACCCAGCTCGGAACACGCTGTGGGAAGAGACAGAGTAAGCACTCAGTCCATCCTCAGCCATCTTCGGGGGACAGACATGAGTTATGGGTTTAAATAGACAACTGGGGACAGGGACAAGGTATAAATAAACAGTCCCAGTCCCAGGTGTGTTCTGGCTGACCAGTATCTCAGTCCTTGCTCTACGAGCAGAGCCCCGCAGGTGGTCCATCCTGAGGAAGGTCTACAGTTGGGTGTAGTTTTTCTCCCTTGCCATGAAGCTGTTACCTGTCTTTCTGGAATCCAGGGTGATTGCAAAGTAACTGCAAAGAGACTGGCTTAGGGCATAGACAGACACAAAATGGAGGCAGGGAAGCCAAGCTTCTCCTGTTTTTAGTTAACTCCTGGGCCTAAGTAAGGAGTCAGTGCCTTTCAGCAAAAGCAGTTTGAGCTCCTGTTACAAATCACTCACTGCTGGCCAGAAAGCGAAGAAGAGAGGAAGGGTTGCCAGAGTCTCCCTGACCCAGGCAAGGCCACGCCCCCAAGGAGCTAAGCCCCGCCTCTTAAAGTCTCCACCACGTCCCCCCAATAGCACCATGATGGAGACCAACCTTGAACACACAGACTTCTGGGGGTACCTCCTGACCTGAACCACAGCAACACGTCATGTCATGAGCTCTCGCCGGGCATGGGGTGTGACTCCTAACCCAAAATCAACAGCAGTTTGAACCCGGATGAGCAGCTGATGGTTGCATGGTTCTCAACCACAGGCTCCTTGTGGGTCCCAAGAGCCCTTTGGGCTCAACCTCCCCCCACTTCAGTATCTGATCACCCTTCCTATCTAACCAAATTCCTCCCCTCTTCCTCCACCCCAGGTAACATCTGGTCACCTGATTCTTTAGCAAGAATGTCATTAGACTAAAGGTGGAAATGTGGCAAGGTGACACCCACCTGAGACAGGAGGATCAAGAGTTCCAGGCCAGCCTGGCCTCCTTAGTGAGACCCTGTCTAGAAACAAAAACAAAATAAAACAAAGAAGAATCCCATTGTCCCCTTGGCCGCTCCTGGACTCTAAGGTATTCTGGGAGCTTGCGTCCCCTCTCCCTGTCCTGTGGCCAAACCCCACTGAGGCAGTGGCCTCTTGTTTCTGTTTTGAAATGTTTTCACAGTATTGCCCAGCTGGCCTTGAACTCGTGATGCTCTGTGAGAACCAGTGTGCCCCCTCTTCTGCCTGTTCAATTTAAGAAGTTGTAGAACTTTCTTTTCCTTTATCAATGACAGAGTATGAACAGGGTACCCCTCCCCCAAGTAGGGGTCTGATCCAAGTGGCTCAGGCCATGCCATCGGCAGGCAATAAATGACCTTGGTGTCACGCTAGGATTTTTCATCCAGGCTGGGTGACCAGCACAAAGCTGTCTTGTGACTCACCACTTGGGATTCTAAATCCACTTTAGCTGTTGTGTGTCTGGAAAGGAAGTTCCCTGCTGCGCTGGGCAGGGCAGGGTGGGGCTGGGGACAGAGATCTGGCAGTTGGTGTGTGTGGTGGGGACAAGGGGGGAGTGAGCTCCCCTTTCTTGGCCTCATAACAACCAGTCTTAATGTCAGGGTCAGATCAGGGGACACACGCAGGCAGGCGAGATATTTTTAGGGAGGGGGGAAAAAATGAGTGACCCGAGTTCTCTGGCCAAGAGAGGGGAGGAGGGAGAGCGACCCAGTGAGGAGGGGAGGGAGGAGGCAATGCTGATGGACCTGAAAGAGGAAGGAGGTTGGCCTGTGACTAATTTAGGCAAAAGGCATTCTGGAGCTATTTCCATTATGTATCCAACAGGTGCATCCCTATCTCCCTCAGGCCTCCTCCCCCGGGACGGCCTCCGGGCTGCCCAGGGCCTATAAATGCCCTGGTTTTGTCAATGGAGCTGGGACACCCAGGAGTGATTGCACAGCAGGGTTTCACCAGCTGGGCTGCCCGGGAGGCAGAGCAGCCTTGGAGGGAGCTGCCCCAACCCCCCTGTCCACCTCCCTGCAGACATGAAAGTGATCGTGGGCATCGGAGGGTGAGCAAGGAGGGCCTGGGGGGTGCAAAGGAGCAGAGGGGATGAGGGCCGTGGGTGCACAGAGGGGATCAGGGAATGAATGGAGGGCTGTCGGGGCCTGAGGTTGGTGGCCCACTGCCCAAGGTCTGAGTGCCTAGAGATTTCTCTGCGTTGGACATGAGGGGCTTCCACACCCCAGCGGAGGCAGGGGGCTGGAAGTGGGACCCAATAGTTCATTTTCCAAATGGAAATCATTTTCCTCCGATTTTACCCAGAGCCACGTATGGTGGCCAGGTGTGGTAGAACACACCTGTAATCTCAGTCCTTGGTAAGCTAAAGCAGGAAGATCGGGAGGTCAAGGCCAGACTGGGCTACATAGGGGGACCCTGAGTCCCAAAACATCAGTAATTAATTTAAAAACCATAGGAAAAGTATATCAAGGGTAGGCAGCCCCTGATAAAGTCATAAGGATACATGGGGTGGGGTCCCCAAAACATCATTCTGCCTGACAAGGTAAACCCTTCTGTAACAACCTAAATCAGTCCCAGGCATTCTTGCAATATACTAGGTCCCTTTAGAAGGCTGCTGTCTGATACCCTGTCCCCATACCTAGTGTATGTCAGATCCCTGGCCAGCTACAAACTGGGGCAAAGGTCACTGGCTTCCAGAAAGTCTCTGATTTGTCTGTGGTCCTTGGTTGATCACCTAAGACCCAAGGTGACCCAGCCTCTTTGTCATAGGGTGACCCATTGTCCTGGTTTCCTCAAGACCTTCCTGGGGATGTGGGAGTTCCGAAACTCCCAGGCAACCTAGGACAAGCTGGTTAACCTATCTTTCATTTGAATTTTCTTCTTTTGGTTTGAACTAGGGTGTGCATTGTTTTGTAAGTTGGGGGCACTTTTTCCCCTCTTTGCAGGGCTGAGCATGGAGCCTAGGGTCTCGTGCTTACCCAGGTGCTCTGCATCTGAGCCACACTTCAGCCTGTGTCATATTGCTCCCACTTTCAGGATTTGGTTCAAACTGCTAGTTTTTTCCATTATGAGGTTTTTGGGTTTTTGTTTTGTTTTGGTGGGATGGGGTTTGAACTCAGGGTTTTGCATTTACAAAGCTCTGTGCTTGAGCCACACCTCCAGTCCATTTTGCTCTGGTTATTTTGGAGATGGTGGAGGGGTAGGTCTTGTGAACTATTTGCCCCGGCTGGCCTCGAACCTTTATCTTCCCAATCTCGGCCTCCCAGGTTGCTAGGATTACAGATGTGAGCCACCACACCTGGCTCAGACTCATTTTCTCTATTTAAAAGAATAAAATAAAGGCTCTTTAGGGGCTGAGGTGTGGCTCAGTGGTGAGTGCTTGCCTAGCATGCATGAGGCCCTAGGTTCCATTCCCAACCCAATCCCCCCAAAAATGGTGTCAGCTCAGGGCCAGCATTCTCACTCCTCCTCTCTCTGCAGAGTGACCAACAGTGGCAAGACCACATTGACCAACAGCCTGCACAAGGCATGCCCAATTGCTGTGTGATCCATCAAGATGAGTTTTTCAAGGTGGCACCCTCAACTGAGGTGGACGGGGCTGGAGCGGGGGAGGGGTAGACTGCCCTGTCATAGTCCCTACTCCTGGTCTGACCCTCCCGGGTTGCCCTGGGCTAGTTGGGACCAGGAGGGGACAGTGTTCTCATTGATAGCATGCATGTAGCCCATTCCCATGGGACACCCCTACAGTGGGGAACACCTTTAGGCCAACAGAAAGAGGGGGTCAGCATTACTGTGGCCTTCTGGGGGGTTCTCCATAACCCCTGTGCTCCTTCACGTTTCCATCTGCGAAACGGTCTCTCACTTGCTGCTTCACGGAGGGTGAGCGAGAGTCTCCCAGGGGCAGCCTGGACCCCGCCCTCCTGGGACCTCAGAGCCCGTATGTAGGGGCACCCAGCAGCCCCCAAGAGGGTGAGGTTGGCTAGGCAGGACCAAGCGCTGATCCCAGGGCTTGGGTTCCTCTGTTTCAGCCCCAAGACCAAATAGCGGTTGGGGAGGACGGTTTCAAACAGTGGGACGGTAAGGACAATGGTCACCTCCCTGTCCCCTGCTGTCCCTCTACAGTCCCCTGGGTCCCTGGCCTTCCCTTGACGTTTGTTCTCCCTGTTCCCAGTGCTGGAGTCTCTGGACATGGAGGCCATGCTGAGCACAGTGCAGGCCTGGGTAAAAAGCCCCCAGAAATTCGCCCGTGCCCATGGTGTCAGCGTCCAGTCAGATGCTTCAGACACCCACATCCTGCTTCTAGAAGGTTTCCTGATCTACAGTTACAAGTGAGCGTCTGCCCGCGCTCCTGCCCTCCCTGAGCATGGCCACATCTCTGCTGTGACAGACAGAAGACCAAGGGCTGGGGGTGGGGGTTCAGCCATAGACCCAGAAAGCCTTCTAGAACCTCAGCCTTGTCAGGTAGAGTAGCAATCTGGGCTGGACACCCTGTGTTCCTGTGTGACCTTGGGTACCACAGCATCCGTCTCTGTGCCTGTCCAAACTGGGGGAGCAGGAAGATTCCATTCCCAGGGGTTGACGAAGGAATGCTGGCCAATCCCCGTTCCGTCCAACACTGACTGTGTCCCCCACCCCTTGCCCAGGCCCCTGTTGGACGTCTACAGCCGCCGGTACTTCCTGACTGTCCCATATGAAGAAAGCAGACAGAGAAGAAGGTGGGCGGCAGGTGGGGGCGGGCTGGGCTGCAGACCCTGTCCCGGTTTCCCAAGTGGCTTTGTGGTGAGTCCAGAAATGCCCACTGGACGCAGGGCCTCCCCAAGCCAGCAGGCTGCAGACAGCGTGAACTTGGCTGGTTCATGGTCTGTCACAGAGCCCTGAACCCACATCCACCCGTTCCTGGCATCTCCTGAGCCCGCAGGGAAAAAAGTTAGAAGTCGGGGCCCCCAGCCAGGGGCCTTGATTTAGAGACCATCCCCCTCCCCAGGGGTAATTGGTGGTACTGGGACCTGCTTTGGGGTATCCCCAGGATCTGCTCTTGACACCACCCTTGCGTGACCAGCCTGTTGCTCCTTCTTGCCTGGCTCCCTCTGCAGGACCCGCAAGTACGTGGTTGCTGATCCCCCAGGCGTCTTCGAGGGCCATGTGTGGCCCATGTACCTGAAGTATAAACAGGAGATGGAGGCAGATGGTGTGGAAGTGGGTGAGTCCTGGAGCCAGACGAGGCTTTGCACTGGGAGGCTCAGATCCCAGCCTCTGCCCATGCTCTAGCCTCCGATCCTCGCTGCTTCCATTTGGGAAACCTGGAAGTCCTTCCTTGAGTCTCATCCCTAGTCTTTCTTGCTGTCAGTTCCCCAGACCGTTTTATCCCAGCAGCCTGACTTGGCAGATCAGCTGCTTCCTGACCCAGCAGACCATCTGTCCCCATGTACTGACTGCCTCCTTCCTGAGGCGACCCCGGTGACCTCTGGTCTCTTATTCCAGTGTATTTAGATGGCATGCAGCCCCGGGAGGAGCTGGTCCACCAAGTCCTGGAGGACATTCAGAACATGCTTCTAAACTGCTCCTAGGTGGTGTCCACCCTGCCGGGCTGCAGGGACTCTGGGCACAATTCTAGCCACAGAACAGCCAGGCCTGCAGTGATCAGGTTGGACACTGTGACCATTTCCCTTTGAGGAGTCTGTACATAGGACGGGGGATTGGGGAAAAGCATACTCCCACGCGGTGTCTCAGGGCCCTGGGACCCAGCCCTGGGATGCCTTTGCCACTTCACCACATCTTCATATTAAACTTGGCCCAGTTTTTATAACTCTTGGGGTTTAGCGTATTCTGTACAAGGACCTTCTGCTCCTCCGCTGGTTCCTGGTGGCTCTAAGGATGCTACTGACAGAGAGCCCTGGCCACTCACAGTCTCCACCTGTTGAGAACTTTGCCAATGTGACCCTGGGGACTCAGTTTACCTAAACAGGAAATTTCCCGAGCTTTCAACCAACAGCTGGGGTGACACAGGAGGCCTGAGCTTTTCCCTTCTCTTGGTTGAGCCTCACCTTCTCCTGTCCAATCCTTGTCCTTTCTTTGTGACTAAAGCTGTACCTGCTTTGTAGGGTCATTCAGGTTTTTCCATGACCTAAAATACCCATAAAGCACACACGTCCTGTCCAGGGACCAAGCCTGCTCCCTCTCCAAGAGAACTCATGCTTCCCTGAGCCCTCCTGGCAGCCTCAGCGTGACATGTTATTATTTTTGCCCATTCAGAGTAACTGGGATTTGAACCTGGGTCTCCCTTTCTGTGGACATTCTTTTTGCCTGCAGTGGCTGAAAGGTCTGTGGAGAGCCCAGGATTGGAGGGGTGGTGATGGGGCACCTGAGGGAGACACTCCATGGCCACCAGTCCCCACCGTCAGTCCAGAAAGACAAAAACAATTCCGCAGTCCAGAATGGCATGAATGGGGGAAATTATGAATGAAAAAAGGACAGAAAGAATGAATTGCCATATAATTGAGCAATTCTATTCCTTCAAATATACCCCAAATAATTGAAAACAGGTGATCAAATGAAAACAGGTACACAAATTTATCACAACAGGCAAAATGTGGACACAACCCAGGTGTCCATCAATGGACAGGTGGACACACAAAGCATGCTCCATCCACACACTGGAATAGGACGAGGTTCTGCCCCACACTACAACATGGAGGACCTCAGGACACGGTGCTCAGTGAGAGGAGCAGACACACAAGCACACAGCATGTGACTCCATTGATAGGACACGTCCAGAACAGGATCAAGGGACAGGAAGTGGACTCGTGGGGACCAGGGCTGGGGAGGGGTGGTGGGACTGCTCATGGGGCAATGGAAAGTTCTGTTCAAGAACTAGATAGAGGTGATGGCTGCACAGCATTGTGATGAGCTGGACTGTGCATTGCACCTTGAGAGGTAAAGCGCAAGAGCGGGAAGGAGGGAGGAGGAGGCACGGCCCAACGCAGGCACTGATATGATTTTAGGCAGGCAGGATAGATCTGCAGAGGCACAGGGGTCCCCAAGTGCAGGGAGAGTCCAGACAGCTTCCTTGCTGTGTTTGTAGTCAGCAGGATGAGGAGAGGCTGTAGGATGGGAAGCTTGGGTGTCCAGAGCCTTGTCCCCCACATGGCACATGGCCAGGTCTGTCACCTCACTGTCTGCCTCAGCCCCACTGCCCCTGCTTTCTACATTGGGGGTCTGTGCTATGGGGTCTCCATGAGCTTTGAAGCTCCCTGCCTTCTTTCAGGGATGGGTCAGGTGCTGGGTCAGTCTTATAAGGTCTGTCTCTGTGGGTGCCCCATCTTGCCTCTGTCCAGCCTTGGGTTAGGGGACCCCAACCTCTGAGAAATTGCTAGCTTCCTATGTCCAGTTGCCCAGCTGTGACCCCTTCTAAACACGCCCGTTCTGCAGCAGAAATAACCCTTATCAGCAGACAATGGCTACACTTCTTCACACGTTGGGCCTCAAAACCAGGCACAAGGCAGGGCATGGATGAGAATGTAAAGCAGACAGACAGATGGACAGATACAGGGACAGACAAATAGATACATTGATGTAGGCAAAGATAGGTAGGAGGATGGATGGGTGGATGGGTGGATGGATGGGTGGGTGGATGGATGGGTGGGTGGGTGGATGGTGGATGGATGGATGGGTGGATGGATGGATGGATGGATCGGTGGATGGATGGATGGATGGATGGATAGATGGTGGGTGGATGGATGGATGGGTGGATGGATGGGTGGGTGGGTGGTGGGTGGATGGATGGGTGGATGGGTGGATGGGTGGATGGGTGGATGGATGGATGGATGGATGGATAGATGGTGGGTGGATGGATGGATGGGTGGATGGATGGATGGGTGGGTGGATGGTGGATGGATGGATGGGTGGATGGGTGGATGGATGGATGGGTGGATGGATGGATGGGTGGGTGGGTGGATGGATGGGTGGATGGATGGATGGATGGATGGATAGATGGTGGGTGGATGGATGGATGGGTGGATGGATGGGTGGGTGGGTGGGTGGGTGGATGGATGGGTGGGTGGATGGTGGATGGATGGATGGGTGGATGGGTGGATGGGTGGATGGATGGGTGGATGGATGGGTGGGTGGGTGGGTGGGTGGATGGATGGGTGGATGGGTGGGTGGGTGGATGGATGGGTGGGTGGATGGATGGGTGGGTGGATGGATGGGTGGGTGGATGGTGGATGGATGGATGGATGGATGGGTGGATGGATGGATGGATGGATGGATGGGTGGATGGGTGGATGGGTGGATGGGTGGGTGGATGGGTGGATGGATGGGTGGGTGGATGGATGGATGGATGGGTGGATGGGTGGATGGGTGGATGGATGGATGGATGGATGGGTGGATGGATAGACGGTGGGTGGATGGATGGGTCAGTTTATGGATAGATAAAATGTATAAATTAGGCAAAGAGACCAACTGTAAATAACAATAAAATAGAATAATTATAATTATATACCTTATTAAAATTTATTTTAAAAATTACAAATTTTCTGAAATTTTCCAATTTATATATTCACACTGCAGTTGACGTCAGGTAACTGAATCCACAGAAAGCAAACTTTCAGACCAGGGGAGGGAACTAGACATGGGTCACTTGACTATAGCCCACGTTTCTGCAGTTTGAGAACTAAGAATCATTTTTATTTATTTTTTTGTTTTTGTGGTGCTAGTGTTTGAACTCAGGGCCTCCCATATGCTAGGCAGGAGCTCTACCACTGAGCCACACCCCCAGCCCTTTTTCCACGTTAGTTATTTTTCAGGGAAGGGCTCAAATTTTTGCCCTGGGATTGGCCTCAGACCTCAATCCTTCTACCTGTGGCCTCCCATGTAGTTGGAGTCACAGATTTGCATCACTACTCTGGGCTTATTTGTTGAAATGGGACTTCACTAACTTTTTCCCAGGGCTAGCCTTGAACCTCAGTCCTCCTGATCTCCACCTGTCTAGGAGCTGAGATTACAGATGTGAAGCACTTTACCTGGGCCTATCTTTTTATTTTTTTATTTCTTTACGTCTCTGGTGGGCCTGGAGACGGAACCCTGGTCCTCTTGCATGCTGGGCAAGTGCTTACCTCTGAGTTACCTTTTTACATTTTTAAATGATCAGAGAAGAAAAACCAGGACTAAGTAAATTTTCCAACACATTCAACAGATGGAATTCAAATCTCAGTGTCTATAAATAAAGTTTTATTGGCACACAGCTCTGCCCTCTTATGTACATGTGATTTGATACTGTGTTGTGCTATTAACAGCAGAGATTGTCTGGTCTGCAGAACCAAAAATATTTGCCATCTGCTCCTTTGCAGAAAATGTGTGCTGACTGGTGTGGCGTATGTAAGTTCTAGAGTGGAGGACCACGGGGACACATGCAGCTTGTGACCAGGCGATGACTGAGGACCCTATGGCCCAGAGGGCAGGAAGGAGTTGGCACCAAGGAGAACTGCAGACTTGCCAAGGCTTGCCCTTTGCCACAGGCACGTAGTGTGATCAGGCTGATCTGTCTGTGCCCAAAATAGTCCAGGGGGAGGGACTGGGACATGGAAGAGGTGGCCTTAGGGCAGCCAACCTCCTGCCTGGCCACTATTACACTCTGGTTACTGTTGAGATAGAGAGAAAGAGGCAGGCGGGGGTGGGGAGTGGAAGAAGCAGTAGCAGTAGAGTAACAAAGTCAGAGAAGGGGAAATGACAAGTGTTGGTGAAGATGTGGAGAGATTGGCCACCTCACGTGTAGTTGGAAATATACCATGGCAAGCCTCTGTGGGAAACCATATGGAGGGTCCTTGTGGTGTGGTGGATCACACCTGTAATCCCAGCACTCGGGAAGCTGAGGCAGGAGGATTGAGATTTCCAGGCCAACTGAGGCCCTGTCTCAAAAAACCCCACAAAACAGCCAGGCGTCAGTGGCTCACACCTGAAATCCTAACTACTTGGGAGGTTGATTGAGATCAGGAGGATCTCAGTTCAAGACTATCCTGGGAAAATAGTTCAAGAGACCCCATCTCCAAAATAACCAGAGCAAGTTGGAGAGCCTGCTTTGCAAGCGGGAAGCCCTGAGTTCTAACTCCAGTCCCAGCAAAAAGGAAAAAAAAAAAAAAAAAAGGAAGAACAGAGAGAGTGGGGTGCAGCTTAGTGGAGCTGGAGGCCTGGGCTCATTTCCAGCACCCCTAAAGGAAATCCTGACACCTGCTACAACAAGGACAGACCTGAAGGACACAGTGCTCAGTGAAATGAGCAGACCCAGAAGGACACACACTACAGGACGCCACTCACAGGAGGACCCTAGAGTCACAGAGACACAGAGCTAGGAAGCAGGATTGTGGCGCCAGGAGCAGGAAGGGGAGGGGAGTTAGCGTTGGATGGGGACAGAGAGCTTTGGTTTGGGGACATGGAAGATTCTGGAGATGGATGGTGGGGACAGCAGCACAGCCACGTGAATGTGTTCAATGCACTTAAAATGGGACATTTTACAATATGTGCATTTTATCAATTTTTTTAAAAGAATAAGAAGAGTACCAATGGAACTTTTCTGGTTTTAACCCTGGAAGTCCTGTGTTCCTGCACACCAGGAGTTTTGGCCACCATGATGGGGACAAACTGTGGGTCGCTATTCCATGACCCACGCCTGTGGAGTTCAGAGACGAAGGGTTCCTTGTCCAAGAGGACACTTAGCACACAGATTTGAACTCAGGTCTGCTAAATGCCCACCCTGCAGCCTTCCCTGGCTGAGGGAGCAGGGTCAGGCCATTCGGTCCTCTTGCTGGCTTCCGTTTCTCTGCCATGTGCTGGGAGCCCTCTAGAGGGATTGGAGGGACCTTCATGGCCTCAGTGACACTGAGCTGAACCAGGAAAAACCCAGCTGCTCCAGCAACCCAGACTCGTCAGATGCGTGTCCCTATTGCCCCCGGCACCCCAATTGTAGACAAGATGCCCTGAGACAGGTAACCTGGAACACAAGAAGGTGCCTCTGGAATCTAGCTGCCTCCCCGGGGCAGGTACCGGCTGACTTAGTTTCCTCTTGTCTGCTCGGCATGGTGCAGTGGTGTTCTTATTCACTATGGTGAGCAGCCGAGGCCAGGCGCCATCCCAGACTGGTCCAGGAGAGCAGGGAGGCATTTACACCTGCCAGATGTGTGCTGGAGCTCAGAATTCCCTCCAGCACTGTGTGATGCAAGGATCACAAGTTCAAGGCCAGCCAGGGCTACATAATGAAACCCTATCTCAAAATAAAACAGAAAGAAAGGGTGGACTTGCATTCAAGGCCAGGTTGTCTAGACCAGGAACCTAGGCTGCCCACTGCCTCTGGTCTCCTGGAATTGCTTCCCAAAACCTTCAGCAGAGCCAGCGCCCCCCTGGTTTGGCCCTTCTGGGTCCCTTCCGCCTGCCGCCGGGACAGGAAGCTGAGGCCACCGACCCACCTCCAAGCTTGTATTTGCTGGTTTCCTCTTATTTGACTGATTTTTAACCACATTCACTTGATCAGGAATTTTCTGATACACATTCAAATAATCCAGAGAACTATTAAAACTAAATCCTCTTGCTCAGGAATCTTGTCATTTCATCTCCAAGGACGCCAGGCACGAGGCACTTCCTCCCTAAACCGTTCAAGGTCGTGAACACTTGAAGCTCAGTGGGCCTCACCTGGGGGGCAATTTTGTCCCCCTGGGAATCTGTGCCATATCTGAGGACACCTGTGTCTGGCGTGACAGGGGAGCTCCTCTCATGGAGTGGGTGGAGGCCAGGGACACTGCTCAGTGCCACACATGGCCCAGGTCATTCTGCCCCCGCCCCCCAAGAATGACCCAGTGTCCACAGCACCCAGGGCAGAAACCTGCTCAAAGAGCAGTGATGGCTTTAGCCCTGTCCCCTGCCCACCTCCAGGAGCCCCAGGTGGGACATATTTTGCCACCAAACCCTGCGAGAGGCTGAGAAGCCACAAAGTTTCCCAAGCTTGACAACAGGCTTGTGTCCAGTACTCCTCCCGGCCCAGTCATCCCCCAGCCCTGATGAACTTGGCCTGGCTCTGTAGATGGTCCACTGCCCAGGAGTCCCCCTGTCTCGATCCTTTACGAGACCTCAGGTGACAGGAAAGGCAAAGGATCTTGGAGCTGCCTGTCCCAGAGCGCAAAGTTCAGAGCTGGCCTTCTGCATTCCTTTGTGAGGTCTGGGGACACGCACACCTGGGCAGTCCCTGTTTGGAGAATCCTGAGTGGCTTTTCCTAAAATTGTCTCCAGATTCCTGGAATGACGGGGGTGCGGGAGGGGCCTGGCTGCAATGTGACTTCTCAGTGACTTCCCTGGTTAGGAAGCAGATCTGTAGTCCTTTCCCTTCTGGGCAAATCTGACCCCACCCAAGCTACTGCCGGATGGACAGACGGACAGATGGACAGATAGCCTCCCATTCAGGATCAGAGTGCCCTGTCTCCACGTCTCCCCCATGGGGGTCACCCAGCCCCAGGATGTTCACCCCCAAAGTCCTAAGAGCCACCTGGAGAGAGAGCGGGGAACCAACCAGAACCATGGCACTGAGTCTCTGGGTGGTGCCGGCAAGGTGCATGCAGCCCCCTCCCCCTTCCTTGCTGTCTGGGTCGGGCCCTCCACCCCCACTCCGGCATCTGTCACCACATCAAGTGGCACTCAGCGGTCTCTTAATCAGCAGTTATTCTGCCACCAACACCACCTCCACCCTTACCCAGAGCCCCACCTGGGCCAACATAGTCACTTCAAAAGGCTACCCAGCTCGGGCACCCCGTCCTTCAGCCACCAGGTCCCTCATTGGGGGGAGGTTCTTGGGGCTGACTGGGGGACCAGCCAGAGCCAGGGGGGAGGAGCAGGCTGAAGGGGACAGGGATTAATGGCCTCAGATGCCCCATGCTGTCTACCATAGCCCAGGGCCCCCGAAACCTGCCCAGAACTCTCTGGGGGGAGACTGAGGCTCCCAGAAATGGGCTCACCACCCTCGTCATCTTTTCCAGCACTCACAAGGTCTAGAAAAAAACTTGAATCAAAAGGACAAGGGCCTGTTGCCCTCCACGGTGGGGGGGCACAAGTGACAGTGGGATCAGGTGATTTCCTGGGGTTCCATCAATACAAATGAGGCTCCCAGAAGGATGTCTCCAAAACGTTAAACCCCAGGATACCCGGGATGGGGGGGGGAGAGAGGCCCCACCTCGGTCCCTGCCTTTTACCCTCCACAGCAAAACTCATGCATTCTTGGGGTCACCTGGCTTGATGCAAGGGTTCCTGGCTCTGTCCCCTTGAGGGTAAGGGGACTGGAGGAAAAGTCCAGACCCTGGACAGTATGGTCACCACCTGCAACTCCCCCCAGGTCATCTTCCCCACCCACCCTCAGGCTGGGACAGGCCTGGGCCACCGAACCTCCTGGGACAATTAAGTGCCACCAAGGATCTATGTGTCACTGGTCCTTTGGAGGGGGGGAACGTCTCGTTTCAACACTGTTCTGTGTCTGACTTTTCAGGCTGCCACTGCCACCGCCACATGGGGCGGATGTTTTGCCGGGGGCTGGGCAGAGGGCAAGGGGCGATGGTTCGGGTACTTACTTTTCTTTTTGTCTCACACAGTGGGGCTTAAAGTTCTCAGGGGCTGAAGGAGCCGCTCGGGGCTGGCCGGCCTGGCTTTATAGCCACAGCGCCCTGTGCTCTGGGCACATGTGTCTGGTTATTAATAACGGCTGCAGCGTCTTGCCCAACTATGGTCAAGAGCAGTGCCACCATGAACCTGACCAGACTCAGCCCTGCTCCCTGCACCTGCTCTGGGTGGGACAAATGGCACACGATGCCCTCTGACTTACAAAAGGCAGTGTCACTCACTTGACCTCACAGGACTTGCCCAGTGCTACATCCAAGCCCTCAGACGGATGAGACTGCAGTAGCTTGGGGACGCCTCGGGCGTGCTGGACCCTGGCTCTCCCCTACCTTCCACCCCGGCCACTCTGTGCGGCAGACTCAGTTCCTCCCTCGGGCGGGCGGGGGGTACAAAAGTGGCTCAGAGACGTGATTCGGCTTTCCAAGAGCCTAGGGGAGGTTTAGTCTGAACCCCACTGGCTTTATTTGCATATAAATAAATCCTAGCTGTGGTTGAAGGTCACAGATTTGGTATCATGGTCTGGTGAATTCCAGAGTGGCTCCAATGGCCTCCTCCTGTCCCCAAGGGATGAGGCACCCTAACTAAACAGCCTCCTATCCAGGGACCCCCACTTCCTGCTTGTCCCTCAGTATTCCTTGCAAAACAGTTATTCAAAGCATGCCAGGCGCTGGTGGCTCACGTCTATAATCCTAGCTACTCAGGAGGCAGAGATCAGGAGGAAGCCAGGCCAGGCAAATAGTCAGCGAGACCCTATCTCAAAAAACCCTTCACAAAAATAGGAGGAGTGACTCAAGATGAAGGCCCTGAATTCAAACCCCAGTACCGAAAAAAAAAAAAAAAAAAGGGGCCATCACCATCACCTTCTCCCATGGGCTCCGGGGGCCACCTTCCCAGCTTGTCACTACCAAGCAACACCCCCCATGCCCTGGTTTTTTTGCCCTCCTCTGGGACAGCCCCCTAGGGTCCCAGAGTGGTGTCCTATCCTCTGGGCTGTGAGTTTACATAGGAGTAAATCTCTGTCCCCTCCCTCTGTCCACCTTAGATGTCACGTGTTTGGCCATCCATGTCGCCCCGTGGCAGGACTCTCACCCCTGACAAGTATTGAAGTGAGGGTGATTGAAACACAAGCCATGCCACTGACACTGAGGCCCACAAGTTGACCATCTAGCCATGGCCCATGTTTCTGTCCTCACCAAGCCCCAGGTTCTGGGTTCTAGATAGTTCCAAGGCCACCAAAGAGCTTGGCCCATCCACCAGGCTCAGCCTGGTTTAGGTCTCTGGGTGCTTCCTGCTCGGCCAGCTTGTCTTGTCAAAGAGGAAACTGAGGCTTAAGAAGGAGAGGCACTTTCTGGATACCCCAGGGTTGAGTCACAGCCAAGCTGGAGGCAGCCCAGTTGGTCCGGTCATCAAGGGCCATGTCTGCCTTCTGTGCCTGCTCCCACTGTCCACGGCACAGCCACGAGGCCTTCTGCCCTCCTAGGAACTCTCCGGTAAGCAAAGCCATCTGCCCCTGCACCTCTTCCTGGAGGTGGGAACCCCACCAGCCACATTCAATGAGGTAGCAAGACAGCGTTCAGAGTAGGGACAGCTTTTCGCTGGAGAGCAAATCAGTGATTATCCCAGCCTGAGGGAGCAGAAGGCCGGGAACCACCAAGGGCAAACCAGTCTGCTCAGAAATCACAAGGCTACATGCCCAGTGGTAGACACCACGACAGCCAAGCTTCAACCTGAGAGCCCCTGTGTGCATTTCCTGGGGCTGCCTGCCATGGAAAGTGACAACCAGGTGGCTTAGAACAGCACAAATTTGCCAGGTGTGGTGGCTCATGCCTGCAATCCCAGCTGCTTGGGAGGTGGAGGTCAGGAGGATCAAGTTTCCAGGCCAAGATGAGCAAAATGGACAGGAGGTGGCTCACGCAATGAAGCACCTGCTTGCAAGTGTAAAGCCCTGAGTTCAAACCTCAGTCTCACCAAAAAAAAAAAAGTCCCACCAAACCAAAAAAGAACACAAATATCCTCTCACACAGTTCTGGAGGCCCAATGTCCAAAGTCAAGGTCTGCACAGGGCCAGACTCCCTCCAAAGACTCCAGAGGGGCCCTTCCCTCCTCATCCAGCCTCCAGCTCCGGGGGCCCCAGTGCTCCGGTCCCCAAACTCAGGCCCACTCTGCTGTTGAGTTGGAGTCAGACGGAATTGGGGAACCCAGAGTCAATGCATGCCAACTGCCACCCAATGTCTCTTATTTAGGGTGTCCTTAACCAGACCAAGCCCCTAACCTCATCTCAGAGGCACCTAAAAGGCCAGAGAGCGGAGTCAGGAGGTTGAGGCCACACAGCCAAGAAGGCAGTTCTCATCCTTCTCATCCTGGGCGTGTGGTCCGAGTTGGGACTCCCATGTTCTTATCTCCATGAGTGGTTTTCTTTGCCTGAAGCAGGTTTACTTCCTGCTGGTTCCCCGCAAAAGGGCTGGGGGTGTGGATGAGTTTGGGCTTGCCCCACCCCTCCATGGGCCTCCATCTTATATCTGCCAAGTCAGGGTGACCTGAGGGGCCTCCATGGTCTTGCTGGAGGTAGGGTGGCAGTCCTGATCCCCAACAGAGAGTCGGAGGCCTCTGGGGATGTCAGGGTTTGACCCTTGAGGGACTGGGAGGTCCATGCAGGGGGGTGCTCAGAGCTGTGACTATATGTTAACCAGCTTGGTGGCACTGAAATTTATTGTGGCAAAAGACACGGGGCATGAAATTGATTGTCTTAGCCATTCAGTGCACAGTTCACTGACACTAACACATTCTAGTGTGCCGGGTGACTTTCCATCAGTCTTGGCTTGACTGCTGTAACAGGACACCACAGCTGGAGGATTAACCAGCAAGCGTGGATTTCCCACAGTTCTACAGCCTGGAAGCCCAAGATCGGGTGCCAGTGTGCTTGGGCTCCCAGAGAGCAGTTCTTCCTCGTATATGGCCACCTCAGGCTTGTCCTCACATGGGGGAGAGCCAGCTCTGGTCTCTTCCTCAGCCTATGAAGGCACTAATTCCATCACTGGACCACACTTATGACCCCACAATGCCATCACAAGGGGATTAAAATTTCATAGTAGCCATCTGTCTCCAGAACCTTCCATCTCCGAAATTGAAGGCTGACTCCCCTCCTCTCCCCAGCCCCTTCCTGTCTCTGCTCATCTGATGACTGAGTGGCGTCCTGCAGTGTGTGTCCTTCTGTGTCTGTTCATTTCACTGAGCACCATGTCCATCCACGTTGTAGCAGTGTCACAATTCCCTTCCTTTTCATGGCTAAATCGTATTCCATTGTTCAGCAGGATGGATGGCATTCCATTGATCCATTCATCCTTCGATAGACACAGACTGCTTCCACCTTTGGACTACTGGGAATTGTGCTGCTGTGAACATGGGCGTGCAAGTGTCTGTTTTGAGTCAGAAGTACTCATTTTAACAGCCCGGTGGTCCACACAGGCTTCCTGGGTTGTGCCATCCTGGGCTTCTGAAGGCCCCACCCAGCCTTCATAATGGGGTTGTGGACAAGTCTGACTCCTGGCTGCCACCTAGTGGCTATGTGCCCACATGGCTCTCTTTAGGAAGCTGGAATCTCCTGGGCCACAGGTCAGCAAACTGCAGCCCTGGGCCCAGTGCAGCCAGCCTGGTTTTAGTTTTATTGGTACTCAGCCATGAGCACTTGTTTACATATTAGTGCTGCAGCTCTTCCACTATGGCAACAGAGAAAACGACAGAAATAGCCTGTCTCCAAAGCTGGTAAAGCTATCTGCCCCTCTACAGGAAAAGCTCCCAAACCGGGAAAACGCCCCCTGCCTGTGGAGTGTTAAGCGCAAGATAGTTATGGCTACTCTAGACCTTAAACTTTGGCTTTTGCTATTTCATTCACCGCCAAACGAAAACTGAACAAAGCTAAGAGCAGAAATATATCTTAGCTGGGGTGGGGGAGGTGGGTGGTGGATTTAACTCCAGCTCCCAGCAAAAAGCCTGGTGGGTGGCAGACAGCCCCTGCCCCGACTCCCGAGTCTGCTGTGCATGTTTGCGAGGGGAGAGGGATGAGCTGGATCGCAAGCAGGACCTCCTGCTGCTCTGTCATAAAGGCAGGTGACGTGAGCTATAAGGTGTCCCTCCCTGTCACCAGCAGGGTTTGCCCTTTCTGCTTAATATGGAAGACATGAGCCTGGAAGAGGTGGGCAGAGGCAGGTCCAGAAGACTCACTCCACAGGCTTGTAGTGTGTGCCAGGGGCCTGGGTTTACTTTCTTGGCAGAACTGGAGTTTGAACTTGCCAGGTGCACCGGCCCCCGGCCCTTTTTGCCTTGGTTATTTTTGAGGTAGGGTCTCACTATATGCCCAAGCTAGCCTGGACGGAGATCCTTCTGCAAAGCTGGGGTGACAAGTGTGCACCACAGCCAGCTTTTTTTACTGGCCGAGATGAGGGTCTCACATTTCCAAGCTGGCCTGGAACCACGATCCTCCTGATCTCCACCTCCCAGATAGCTGGTTACAGGCATGAAGCACATGCGGAACTTTTTTGAAGGGTAAAACCTGTCCTTCGTGTAAGGAAGCTAACAGGCATGACAAGCAGTGAGGCTCAGAATGTCATGCAGGAAAGGCGTGAAGGCCAGCAGGGCCCCTGGAGGGGCTGAGCTGCACAGCATTGCAGGTAGCAGCGCCCCCAGCCCCAGGACCTGCCCCTCAGCTTCGTGTGGGGCTGGAGCACTGGGCAGAGCTGCGGACAGCTTCGGCCTGCAGTTTGCTTTTCTTGAGCACAGTGGAAAAGAAGTGCAAAGGCATGGAGATCACGGTGTCTGATTGCTCTCCAACGTGGGAGCCAGGAACATGTGTGAGCCACCCACAAGTCAGGAGGCGGCTTTATTCCTTTTGGCCTGTACAGTTGCACACACACGTCGAGGGAGGTGCAAGGGGCATTTGGCAGAGCCCCACCATCCATAGGGACAGGCCTCAACCCCAAGGGGGCTGGGAGATAGTGGCTGAAGACCCCACAGCCAAGGGAAGCCCAGGCCCAGCTCCAGCCATGGCAGGAACAGGTGAACACTGTCCTGCTATCAAACCCAAAGGCAGCACCTACAGGTGCCCAGCATTTCCTCCTAGAGAGAGGGCTCCTGGCCAGGTAGGTCTGGGACACAGCAAGGCAGAGGTGAGCAGGTTTCTGTCTTAGGGCAGCTGGGCCCAGCAGGCTGAGAAAACTGGTGCTCCTGGGAGCAGAACCCCCATGCTGGCAGTAAGGCCTAGGGGAAACTTGTCCCCTTCTAGGGGCACTGGCTAGGAGCAGGCAGGTCCTAAGGGTGCTGACAATGGTGGCAGAGGCAGGAGCGCGTGGTGCCCTGAAGGGGGCGGCAGCCAGTGGGCATTCGGGGTAGGGTGATGGCTTTGGCATCTGGGACACACGCACTGTCAAGAGGCTGACGATGGTATCACTAGAGGCTCCTCAGGAGCTTCCAGAGCCCGAGGTGACCAGGGCTGCCCTGTAGCTCCACCACAGGCAGGATCCTTGGGCCTCAAGTTGACAAGAAACCACTACTTGCCAATGTCCCCATGCCACAGCCTCGAGGGCAGTCCCTGCTTAATCCAATCGCTGGTGCCCAATGGGGTTGGGTAAGCTGTCTGTGGGCAGGGCTGACAGGGAGGGAGCTGCCTGCCCACAGGGCTGTCTCTGACTCCCAGCCTGACAAACCACCCAGGTTTCCTGTGCTGGCCCGGTGTGGGGGACCCAAGGCTACGGAGCTCTGTCAGTCCTAGGCCTCCTGACCCACATGCTGGACATGAAGGTGGCCACCTCAACTGCCAGCAGGGCACAAGGACACCCTGTGCGCCATAGCCAATTCTGTTGCCATGGCAGGGGGAGCTACAACCAGGGGAAGCACAGGTAGCATGAGGCTTGCAGGAGGGTAGCCTGGGAACAACGGGACCCTGCAGCAGGGGCTCCTGTGCCCAGCTCCCCTGGGGACACAGCTGCGGGAGAAGAGCTGTGATGGACTCCCGGGTCCAGCCCAGGGCTCCATGTGGGCTGGAGACCCACAGGAGGCCAAGCCCCACAGGAGGTGTCCCCACCACACGGGCCTAGCGGAGGCTGCACTCGCCACCCTGCAGCCGCTCCTGCTCCAGGGCGCGCACCAAGTCCTGCACGAAGCGCACCTCGGAGGCCACCTGCTTGGCCAGGGCCTCGTAGCGGTTCTCCAGGCGGCTGAAGCGGCGTTTGAGCCCACCGGCCCCCAGCAGGGCGCCCCGGGCTTCCTCCTGCGCCTGCCGCTGCAGCGCCTCGGTCCTATGCAACTCCTGCCGCAGCCGCCGCAGGTCCTGCCCGATGCTGTCACTCTCCTCCCGGTACCAGGCCTCCTTCTCCTCATAGATGGCGGTCAGCGCCTCCACGTCCTCGCGGCACAGACGCCGGCCACGCTCCAGCTCACGCAGGCCATCCTCGGCCGCAGCCACCTCCTCCAGCACCTTGGAGAAGCGCTCGAAGCTGACGTAGGAGTTGTTGGGCGGCAGACTCGAGTGTGACTTGATGGTGTATTCCTTCAGCCGGGCCGTCTTCAGGCGCCGCCGCTCGGGCTTCCGGCCACCGTCCTCACCACGCACATTCCGCCGCCGGATGGCCTGTGGGCAGAGGCAGGGATGCATCCAGCATGACCACTCTGTGAAGGTTTCATGGCACACGGCCATGCCTGTTCTTGCCGGGGGGGGGGGGATCACCATGGTGGCTCTCCGGGACTTCGCCAGGGTCTCAATGACTTGCACTCCAATGCCATCTCACAGTGTGAGCACCCCATCACCCAGGCACACTCCCCTAGGGACCTCCCAGATGCTGTGGGCTTGTCACTCACGTGCCAGGTACTTTGAGGGACCCCAGAAAAGGCCAAGAAAACTTACCTTGATCCAGGAATGTTCCAGGCTCTGGGCAATAGTCATCCTCCTCCTGAAAGAACCCCCCACCCCAGTCACAGTGTGTTCACTGCCCATCTCCCCGTGGCAGGGGCTAAGAGGGATAGGGAGCAGGCTGGAGGGCCCTCAGCTCCTGCCTTGACTTGACCCCCAGACCTGCCATCCCAGGGCACCCACTCCCTTAAACTCTGCTCTGTCTGCCAGCCACAAGGAGCCAGTCCAGGGGCCTGAAGAGCAGGCCAGCTGGGGCTCAGGGTGAGTCAACTATGCTGCAACCTCACACTGGCGACACAACTCTGATACCCACGAGAGCCAGGAGGCCATGGAGGACTGGGCAGACATGTGGATAGCTGTGTTGAGGGCTCGGCGCAGTAGGATTCTAGATTGTTTTTTCCTTTTGATGCTGCTGGGCCTTGTGCTCATATGCTCTACCACTGAACTGGTTCAGACAGCTTCTCCCTATGTAGCCCAAGGTACTGGAACTCACAATCTTCCTCTCGGCTTCCCAAGGGCTAGGATTACCATGTCCAGCAGGACTCTACATTTTTCTATGGATAAAGAGTAATTCGGAATTTTATGTGAAACTCACTTACTTAAGTTTCTTAAAAATGGTGTGGGGATGCCAAGGGCAGTGGCTCACGCCTGTAATCCCAGCTACTCAGGAGGCAGAGATCAGGAGGATCGCAGTTCAAAGCCAGCCCAGGCAAATAGTTCAAGAGACCCTATCTCGAAAAAACCCATCACAAAAAAAGGGCTGGTGGAGTGGCTCATAGGCGTAGGCCCTGACTGCAAAAAAAAAAAAAAAAAAAATGTGTGGGGGCTGGAGGCATTGCTCAAGTGGTAGAGTCTGCCTTGCAAGCATGATTTGAGTACAAACCCTAGTTCCACCAAAAAAATCAGGTGTGGACCAATACAGCCCTCCGCGTGTCATCTCCAGAAGTTTCCAGCTATAGGAGGAGCCTTTCTCATGGCTGAGGCAAGTGGGTATCCCACCCCCACCCAGCGCTCATACTTGGGGTCTTTGACAAGCAGCCGGCGGATAAAGTCCTTGGCCAGCTCACTGGTGCTGCTAAAGTACTCCTCATCAAAGTCGTAGTTCACAGCCGAGATGTTGGTCAGGGTCTCCTGCTTGGTCTCACCCAGGAATGGGGATGCACCACTGAGGCTGGAAGATGGATGGATGTGGAATTCATCAAGGAGGACGGTTCAGCCGTGTGTCCCCCACCGCCACCTGAATTCCAAGGTACTGGCAATGGGCTACACACAGAGGCTGATGGGAACCTCAGACACTCCCACACATGTGGGCCTTCCCCACCAGGACCCCTGGCCACCCACACAAAGGCACCAAAGACACCGAGGGGAAGTATCCCTGCAAACTCAGCCTCTGGGGCAATGCAGTCTCAAAGCATCTCTCCCAACTGCCCAGTAACTAGAAAAGGAACAGCAGTCACTTTCAAGAGGACAGTCCTGACTGACACCCACCAACCAGGGGAAGACCTGCACTGCTGGGAGCCACGTGCCCTGATGCCCAGAGAACACGGTGCCTGCTCTTATGGATCCCAGCTGATCATGAAAGAATGGCAGATGAGCCCCAAGTGGGGCGTTCTGCAAAATACCCTTGCAAAGAGTCAAGGTCATGCAGGACGGGGACAGGCATGAACTCTCCAGCAGGAGAAGGCAGGTGACTAGACATCAAGGGGTCATACGTGGGGTCCTGGGCCAGAGAGGGACAGTATCAGAACTGGGGCCACCTGGCCAAGTCTGGACCTGACTACCTAGTGTAGGGCTAAGGTTCATGTCACAGTCGTCTACACTCATGAGACACTGACCATAGGTATGGGAAGTTCTGGGGTTAGTTCTCTGCGCCCCCACACACACAAGGGCACAGATCAGCAGGGGGCCATGAAACCAAGGCACTGGGCTGGGGAGCAGCTCAGTGGTAAGGGCCCACTAAGCATGAAAGAGGCACTGGGTTCATTTCCAGCACCAAAATAAATAAATAAATACATACATACATAAATATGGTAGCAGGTGGGGAAAGGACAAGGGCTTGGGTCCTTTTTGCCTCCAGTGGTCGGACAGGAAGGGAGGCCACGGCCCCGTACATGTCACTTCACATGACAGGGTCCAGACCTGTGACAGCAACCACGTAGAACCATTCACTCCTTCACTTGCTCATTCGGCCATCAGGCATTCACTGAGCACCACAGAAGGTCTGGAACACCACAAAGCCCTGGGCCAGAGGATATCTGGCCACCCGGCCAGCCACCAAGCCACACAGCAAGTGTACTCACAGGATGTAGGTGATGACGCCAATGCTCCTGGGAGAGACAGAAGAGACAAGGGATCAGCACAGCTGCAGGGTAGCACCCCATTCCCAGACCAAGGCCACCCCACTGTCTAGAGAGCCAGGGTGACCCAATGGGAAAGCCATTGGGAGCTTGGGACTTCAGGGGCTGGCTCCAGCCTGTACCACCTCTGTCAGCTCTGGAGCTGCAGAATCTGCTACCTGTGGCTGGCTGGCCATGCCCACCTATCCCAGTGCAGTTGGAGGGTGGAATGCAACAGTACGAGCCAAGCACAGCACCCCCGCCCATTCCCCAAGCAGACCCTCCCCTGGCCTGGTGTGGTTTGCCTGAGGCTGGCAAACTTATAGCAGCCACTAATAAACACTGTCAGAGGTGTGTCTGCTCTGTTCCAAAGCCTCCATTTAAAAATTAAAATGCGAACCACTCTTAGCAGCTGGGCCTGACCTGGCACTCAGGCTATAGCCTGCTGACCCCTATCCCATGGCAGCAGTCTGTCCTCTTCCTCCCCCCGAACCCTCAAAAGCACCAAGAGGCACCAGCACAGGATGCATCCCCAGCCTGGCTCTGGCCCTGCAGCAAGTGGACAGCTAGTGAAGGGTTGGCGGGAGAGGGAGGGGGAGGAAGGGCGCAGGCGCAAGTGTCAGCAGCCCACACTCACCACATGTCTGCCTCTAGCCCCAGGGGCTCGTAGTTAACAATCTCAGGAGCTGTGGGGACAGGGATTTGGGGGGGGGGGTGGCAGTGTTGGTGTCAGTGTCACACAGCCAACAGGAACGACAGAGCCCTGTCTTCATGGTTCTAAGGACACAGGCTTCGGACAGACAGGCTCTCTCCCATCCCACTGTACTTGGTGGTGAACATGGCAGGGCTGGCTGGCTCTCAGGGCCTAGGCCCAATAGGCAGGAAGGCTGGATGGTGACGGCTCCAGCAGAAGTCCAGAAGTCCAAACAATGCCAGGGCACTGAAGCAGTGGCCAGAGGCCCGCAACACACAGGACCCAGGCCATGTCTGTCCCTGCCTCCCCAGCCCAGGCCAACACCCCTTGGGGCCTCACCCACGAACTCCGGGGTACCGAAGATGTTCTTGAACTCGCTCCCAGCCTCGATCTTGTGGGCGATGCCGAAGTCGATGAGCTTGATCCGTGGGCTGGGCGCGCTCTTATCCAGCAGCATGATGTTCTCTGGCTGCAGGGGACGCCGCGGGGCTGTGGCAAGCCAGCACCGGCCTGCTCTCAGACAGCAGCGCCCTCGGCTGACCCTCCCCACAGGCCCCCACCTGAGCCATGCGCCCCTTCGGCCCCAGGGCAGCAACAGGCTGGGGGCGGTGCACTCAGTCACAGGCCCAGCCCACAAGCTTACCTTGAGGTCAAAGTGGGCAATGCGCTTGGAGTGCAGGTAGTGGACACCGTCAAGGATCTGCTTGAGGAACTGGGTGGCCTCATCCTCAGTCAGTGACTCCTTCTCAGCCAGGAAGTCGAAGAGCTCCCCACCTGACACGAGCTCCAGGATGAGCACCACGTCTGTCTTATTCTCGAACACGTCATGCAGTGTGATGATGTTGGGGTGCCGGATCTCTCGCAGGATGCTCACCTCCCGCTCGATCTCCTCCCGGCTGACGCCCCGCCGACTGGACGACAGACGGCGCTTCTTGATGAACTTAGCTGCGTACTCTTTCCCTGTGCCCTTCTGCCGGCACTTCCGCACAATGGCAAATTGGCCACTGCCAGGGGGCCGTGAAGAGGGGACAAGAGGGGAGGGAAGGGAAGGTGAGCTGGGCAGCCCCCAATGCCTCCCTAACTACTTCCCCACTGTGAGGGGAAGTGGGAACCCCATGACCCTCCAGAAGAACTGGAAATTCCTAGCACTCAATACATCTCTGTCCCCAATCCTTCAGGGCTATCCCCAGGGGACAAAAAGGAACTGGGATGATGTTGATAAATCAAGGAGTGGCTCTTTATCTGGGACAGAGAGACGCAGTGAGGACTTGCTACATTAAGACATGCCATAGCCAAGCATCACTCATGCCTGTAATCCTAGTTACTCAGGAGGCAGATGTCAGGAGGATCTCGATTCAAAGCCAGCACAGGCAAATAGTTCATGACACCCTATCTTGAAAAAACCCATCACAAAAAAGGGCTGGTGGAGTGGCTCGAATGGTAGAGTGCCTGCCCAGCTAGTATGAGGCCAAGTTCAAACCCCAGCGCCAAAAATAAAGAGCATTCTGCTATCATTTGGATCTGGAACGTCCCAAGGCACACATGTTGGAAGTCTGTCTCCTGATAGCACTACCAGGAAGTGCTCTGGACCTTTACGAGGTTATGAGAGAAGTCAGGTCATGGGGTCATGCCCTCAAAGAGGACTGGGGACTCTGTCTCAGCCTCTCTGCTTCCTGGCTCAAGAGTGAGTGGTCCGCTGCTCTGACATGTTCTGCCATGAAGTGCTGACTCTGCCTGAGGCCCAAAGCCATGGGCCACCCGATCCTGGACTTGAACCAACATTGAGCTAAACAGATCTTTTGTTACTTCACTACCTCAGGTATTTTATTGTAGTAACGGGAAGCTGACTAACACAGATCAACTGTGATTTTTTTGTTTTGTTTTGTTTTCCTGCATATACACGATGTCCAAGTTAAGAGAAGAAAAGATTCAGACAGCAACTCGCTAGTGGCCCCAGAAGGGACTGAGAAAGGACATGGGAGAAGGGGCTTTTACTTTCTACTCGATGCGGTTCTTTCTGACTGAACTTCTCACGAGGTTGAACTTTTATTTTTTTTCATGTGATTAAACTGAAGGAAAAAGAAAGAGCCACTGACTCCAAAGTGCTCCTTATTCAACAGGCAGTGGAAGGTGTGTGTTTGCCCATCAAGGCAGGCTGTGGGGACTGCATCTTACACCTTCCTGATGGGAAGGAGAAATGCGCAGACACAGTGGAAGCTGCAGGGAGCAGTGGAGAAGCTGTGAGTGGTTCATCCAGCCCAGCAGCTGAGCCGAGGCAGCTGCCCAAGAGAACAGAACGTTCGTCCTCACAAGGGCTTACACACAACATGCACAGCAACTAATTCACAGCAGCCCAGCAACCATGAGCCACAAATGCACATACACAGCATGTCCCCATCCACGTGTTGGAGCATCACTCAGCCAGAACAGGAGTGGGGCTCTGACACAGGTGACACTCAACATGGAGGGACTTTCAGGACACAGTGCTCAGTGAGAAGCAGACACAAAAAGTCCTGCAGTGTGACGCCATTGATAGGAAACATCAAGAACAGGAGGGTCCAGACAGGAGATGGACTCGTGGGTACGGGGACTGGGAAGGGACAGGGTGACTGCTCATGAGGACAGGATTTTGGCTTGGAGCAAGGAGAATGCCTGGGTGTAGTCAGGAGGAGGGCAAAAAAAAAAAAAAAAAACAAGCAAGTCTGTGTTCTGATAATGTAGCGGGGCAGGGGAGGGTGGTGGGGAGAAGGGATGGCATAGCAGGGAGATAAAACTTAAAAATCTAAAACATGAAGAAGGTCTCATAGCACTGGGAGTGAAGTAGCCAACAGAGCTACATGCAACCATATATGGATTAAACCTCGCCTTTTGCTTCTGTAACCTGCTTGCAAGGGTAGATAAGGTGAGACACCTTTGTTCTCGGGCCTCAGCCTTTGGATGTGAATCTGCTGAGCCACTGCTGGCAAGCTAAAAAATACTGATTCCTGAAAAGTCTTGGTGTCCTATGTCTGTTCAAGATTCCTGTAACACTAATGGGGCTCGTCTGGGATTCAGAAGATACAGTGTTTTCACCTCCTTGTCACTGGGACTCAACCTCTCCTGCTTGTCAAGTCTCAGTTGACAAGCTCAACCTGGAGAAGGCTTAGGAAACAACTGAGAGGCCTGCCTTGTCAGAATGATAAGAACCTGGGTTCGAATAATAGGCCTGCCTTTAGATGACAGAAGAGGAGAATGATCACCTCTCAGAGACCCCAAGTAACCCTGTCTGGGGTGAAACAGGATCACTCGAGTTTAGGGAGCAGGGCGAAAGTGTGTGAGACACCTCCAAGAATTAGGAGGGTTGAGCTTTTCCTGGGAAATAGCCATGACCAAGGTTAAGGGATGGATAACAAAAAATTCAGTTTCAAAGAGGGAGACTCACAAGAGAACAGATGCATCATCCACCATTCCATCGGATAGCCCTCTGAGTATAATTTAAGTTTTGTGGTTTTTTTTGAGCGTACACTCTAATTTTGTGTGTGTGTGTGTCAATTTGTTTAAAGCACTGGGCAAAATTTAATTTGCTCTGGAATTCCATCTCATCTTATGCACACAAAAGGACATTTTTTTCTGGCATGCTTAATTTATAAAACTTTAGTGTGTGTGTGTGTGTGTGTGTGTGTGTAAGCATCTTCAAAACGGTTCTTAAACTGCTGTTATAAAGTTAATGTGATAGTCAAGGTAACAAAAACCAGGGTGTTTGTTTTAAAGATCTCTGTTATAGAATATATAGGGAACTTAAAAAACTAAATTCTCCCAAAATTAATGAACCAATAAAGAAATGGGCAAGTGAACTAAACAGAACTTTCTCAAAAGAAGAAATTCAAATGGCCAAAAAACACATGAAAAATGCTCACCATCTCTAGCTATAAAGGAAATGCGAATTAAAACCACACTAAGATTCCACCTCACCCCTGTTAGAATAGCCATCATTAGCAACACCACTAACAACAGGTGCTGGCGAGGATGCAGGGAAAAAGGAACCCTCTTACACTGTTGGTGGGAATGTAAACTAGTACAACCACTCTGGAAAAAAGTTTGGAGACTACTTAAAAATCTAAACATTGATCTACCATATGATCCAGCAATACCACTCTTGGGAATATACCCAAAAGACTGTGACACAGGTTACTCCAGAGGCACCTGCACACCCATGTTTATTGCAGCACTATTCACAATAGCCAAGTTATGGACACAGCCAAGATGCCCCACCACTGACAAATGGATTAAGAAAATGTGGTATTTATACACAATGGAATTTTATGCAGCCATGAAGAAGAACAAAAATCGTATGTTCTCCCTCTTATGCGGACATTAGATCAAGGGCAAACACAACAAGGGGATTGGACTTTGATGACATGATAAAGCGAGAGCACACAAGGAATGTATGAGGATAGGTAAGACACCTAAAAAACTAGACAGCATTTGTTGCCCTTAACGCAGAGAAACTAAAGCAGATACCTTAAAAGCAACTGAGGCCAATAGGAAAAGGGGACCAGGAACTAGAGAAAAGGGTAGATCAAAAAGAATTAACCTAGAAGATAACACACATGCACAGGAAATCAATGTGAGTCAACTCCCTGTATAGCTATCCTTATCTCAACTAGCAAAAACCCTTGGTCCTTCCTATTATTGCTTACACTCTCTCTTCAACAAAACTAGAGATAAGGGCAAAATAGTTTCTGCTGGGTAGCGAGGGGTAAGGGGGGGTAAGGGAGGGAGCAGGGGCGGGTAAGGGAGGGGGCAGGGGGAAGGGGGGAGAAATGACCCAAACATTGTATGCAGGTATGAATAAAAATTTTAAATAAATAAATAAATAAATGTCACAATGTATCCTCTCCTGTGCAACTATGAAGGAAGGGAGGGAGAGAGAGAAGGAGAGAGGAAGGAAGGAAGGGAGGAAGAAAAAAAAGATTTCTGTTATAAACTGCTTAAGCTTTTTACATATAAATATGTAAACATCTTGAGGATGGTTCTTATTACAGAGTCAATGTCAAAAATTGTTACTCTGTTCTAATGCTATTTTTAAGAAAACCAGTTTTCAAACTTATTTCAATCAATTCTCACTAGGATGTAGGCATTTAGGGGTTAACACTCCAGCTCAGACCAAAGGGAAAAGAAAAAAAAAAAAAGAAAGAAAGAAGGGTGGGAGGCTATAGACTGCAGCAGGAATCTTAAAATTTAGGTAGTTAAAAATTGACCTTAGCCTATTTCACTCTGTCATAAATAAAATCTAGGATTTAATTCTTTCTTATAATATACAGGGTCTATTAACAAATGGGCTTTCTATAAGTTGTTTTTATACAAACAATAATTTTGAGGTTGTTTTCTTTATGGTTTTTTCATACAAATATAAGGTTCTAAGTTAAAAGACTTTATGAGTTATTTTCAAGAAGTAACAAATATATATATGTAATATTAAGATGGGTTTTAAAAATAAAAGGTTAAAAAATACTTTTCAATTAAAAAAAAAAGAAAAGAAGGTAAAGTCAAGCTCCTCCAGGGGATACAAAATAAGTTGTCATAAAGGTACAGAGTAAGTTGTCATAAAAAGATGGAGCTTATAAACGCTTATGTAAGTGATTAAGTTGACTAAAATCCAGTTACATTAAAGGTTTTGTAAGGTCAAAATTTAATGTACTGAGGTTAAATTAAAACTTAATTCTCTAAGGCTATCTTAAAAATATATTGTTCTTGCTAACATTTACAAAAAAACTATCTTAAAAATGGTTTTTGTTTTGTCAAGATAACTAAGGAATTTTTGGTGCTACAGGTTATTCCACAAACTTATCAAGACAACAAGAGTTTATTAAAACAGAGAGGCAAGAGGCAGCTGAGCACAGGAGTGCCGCTGCACTGATATGAGGGTCGAGACAGATTTACTTATGTGAGGAAAAAAAAAAGTCAAAGTGCACCCTTCAGATAGGATTAAAAAAAAAAAAATGTAGAAATGTTAGTCCTACTT